TATATATATATAATTATTTTACTAAGCTCTTAGAGTATCTTCTTTTATTATTATATTTATTTTAATTTAGTAATCTATTTTTATATACTAAGAAATCTTCTCTTAAGATCTAAGGAGATTACTATCTACTAATATTATTATATTTAAGAGCTTTAGAAATTAGAATTAGAGGTTCCCCTTATATATTAATTAGTAGATATATTTATATAGCATAAAGAAATAATATATTATTTTTTTATTAATATAGTTATACTAGCTTTTATTATCTAGATATTAGGGTTATTAGTTACTAATTAAGATTATAATTACCCTATATTAGAGATACTTCTAGTAGAAACTATCTTTACTTAGTAAAATATATAAAAAGTACTCCTATTAGGCTATCTTAATTAGTAGAATAATTAAAACTATAAGAGTACTTAGGGAATGCTCTTAATTAAATAATAAATAATATAATAATAGTAATATCTTTATTAATAAACTAATTACTAAGATATAAGATGCTTACCCCTTAATAGGTAATGATATCTCTATAGGTCATGTACTACCTATATGACCCCTATGGTTTGCTATATATAGGCTTACTATGCCTAACACTTCTAGAGGCTTTTATATACCCTTATAGGTTGTATAGGCAAGATATACTATGATATATAGCCCAGGATATTATAGTTAGTTAGGTAGGGAATATGGCTATGTGACCTGCTCTATTACAAGTCATGATAGTAAGAATGTATGACAGTGTAGGTAAAAGGACCTATCCCCTACGGTCCTACCTGGCCCTAAGCATGTATTTTTTAGTGTGTTGCATGCACCTAAGGCTCCTAAGCTAATTATTCAAAACATTAATATAAGGTAAAATACACAGATTTCTGCCTTAAGTAGGTAAGCATCATAAGGGTGACTAATCAGCTTAGGTGCATGGAAACCACGCTAAAAATACATGCTTAGGGCCAGGTGAGGGGATAAGAGTTGCCAAATTTGGTCTAGTGTCTAATATGCATATGAAAATCCTTCTCAAATCCCCTTAGCCAACTGCTACTTTAGCAGCTTGCCACATCAATAATTACCTTACCAGTCAATTCCAGCAAAGGCTGTTGCAGCATCAATGGCAACAATGTTACAAGCAATCAGGTATAACCATGGCAAGCTAGCCATCATTGACCAGCTACAGCTCCCATATGTGGAAAAGTTCATTTCGGTCCAGACATCTGAAGAAGCCTGGCATGCAATCAAGGAAATGAGAGTCAGGGGTGCACCAGCTATTGCAATAGTTGCAGCCCTTGCTCTCGCATCAGAGTTACATACACTCATAGCTCATGATAAACTATCATCAGGAGCAGAAGAGGTCAAACTTTTCATCAAGGAAAAGTTGAATTATCTAGTGAGCAGCAGACCCACTGCTGTCAACCTCAGTGATGCTGCTCGCAAACTCGAAGCAAACATTTCAGACTATGCAGATGTCACTGGCGCAACTGGGCGCACTGTTGCGGAAGCTTTCATCCATGCCGCAGAGGATATGATGACCAAAGATCTGGAGGATAACATGAAGATTGGTGAAAATGGTGCTGAGTGGATTATTGAGCGTGTACTTGCAGCGCAGAAGCCAACAGCTACTGTTGTGACACATTGTAACACTGGGTAAGCATTTACCTTTATGACTGTGTTATTTGAGTACTGAATGGATTTTATTAGCTCGCTTGCGACTTCAGGCTATGGAACAGCCCTGGGTGTGATACGGGCGTTGGCTTCAAAGAAAGTCCTGGAACATGCATATTGCACCGAGACTAGGCCTTATAACCAAGGCAGCCGCCTGACGGCTTTTGAACTTGTCCACGATAAACTTCCTGCTACATTGATAACCGACTCAATGGTAGCTGCACTGCTCGCTAATACAAAAGCTAAAGTAGACGCAATCGTGGTTGGGGCAGACAGAGTGGCAGCCAATGGGGATACAGCCAACAAAATAGGTACATATGGTTTAGCCGTACTTGCCAAGTATCACGGTGTGAAATTCCTTGTTGCCGCGCCACTCACTACAATTGATCTCAGCACTAAGTCAGGTGAATATATCATCATTGAGGAACGGCCAGCGGCTGAAGTCACCAAAATCAAAGGGCCTGTCGAAGGATATCATTCAGCTGATGTCATGAAGTTGGAAACTGTGCACATTGCTGCAAAAGGTATCAATGTCTGGAATCCAGCATTCGACGTTACTCCCTCAGCACTCATTGATGGCATCATTACTGAAGTGGGCGTCATCGAAAAGGAAACAGATGGTCAATTTCACCTGGAACGGCTATTTAAAGACCACTCCGCTGCCTGAAAATCTGGTTTTATATGATGACTGCTATTGCCATCATAATCCTGCCGTTCGTTATTGCCCTTAACGGCAGCAAGAAGCTTGTCAAGCTGGGATTCCAGGGTTGTCAAATGGGTTTCCAGTGCTTCAGCTGCCTTTTCACCACTTGTCGAGGTCAGTCAAGCACTGTCGGATTTGAATGACAGGTGGAACCACATACGAGGAGATATCCTTGAGAACCTAGATACTGTCAGTATTTAGTTTGGGACTATTCGATGACTCTTCCAGGTTCACATGCCATGATAGTGCAAGTAACATTGTTCAAGGCTTCATTGCATGAATAAGATAGTTCAAGTGATATGATAGAACTTACTTGCAAATAATTAGGGGTAAACCCATCTTTGTTTACTTGAGACATTGTGATAATATGCACTGGATGTATTAATAGATGGATTTATAGATGCATTACTTCTTAAGGTTGTTTGTCTACAGAGTAGAGTGTGGGCTTTACTAGGTATTAATGAATAATTAGTAATATATTAGTTAACATGGCATAAGAGATTAGATTGTTTTTTAAGGTCCTGGGCCGTGTAATTTAATGATCCACCTAACTATGCCAATCTGCCATAGATGGCTGTAAAAAATGAGCCATAATTCTAGTATAAAATACCAGCTAATTCAAGTGTCATTCCCTTTTTAGTAGTGGTCTGAATTCTGTCAATAATAGGGTTAGGCATACCCACTATCACAATACCAAGTGGCACCAACTTATGAGCTAGAACTATTAGACTACCTAAATCTAATAGGGTGCAGGAACCCCCACACAGAAATAGGAGGCAGATGGACATTCATTGGGGGGCGCGGGGGAGTAATCCTGTGTGATATGCAGAGCTGACCACAGAGGAGATAACAAAGATCATTCCAGAGTGTCCAGGAGGTTACCTGATCTGGCCTGGGGGGTTTACTTTGGATCTCAATATCTTTGCCATCTAGCATGCCCCCTTGTCTATTGCAATCTACTGGATGGTTTGCTATCTGTTTGGACTGCCTTTCTATGAGCATGGGGTAAGAGACTAAGGTACCTTAAGAGGTCCTTACCCCGCGTTTTACTATCATGTATGAGGTCATGAGGTGTTCTAGCTGAAGCTGGATCCTATAAATTAAACAACCTCCAGTAGCCATTCATCTAGATAGATTGAGCACCACTAATTTCTTTATCAAATTGGTTCAATAGGATTCTAACTATATCTGACTATCACTCACCCCTGGATTTGCTCTTGCATTGATTTGGGTATCACAGGGTTAGATTTCCATATACCAGTTTATTCATACTAACACTTCCACCCCCCCTGGAATTACCTGTATTCATTTTACCAGGAAACCTCACAGGGGACTTCAAGGTATGCTCATGCTAAGATCACCACTGTAGAGATGGTCTGAACTATCTTTTCTCTCTTCTTTGTTACATTCAAACATGACCATATCACACACTATGCTTTGATTCACTATCTCTATTCCGCTAATAATATGGATCTTCTAGTATCTCTGCCCAATCTATATTCGGTCTGATTCAAGAGCCCACCCAAATAGCTGCTCGTATAATAGTAAGCAAATCTCATAATGAAAGAAGAGATCTGTTGGAACATTAGTCACACATTGGTCAGTGTGATCAGCTGTACTAACGCAAGTTCCAGTGGCGCGTTCACACAAGCTCAATGGCCGGGATCACTCAGGACTTAGTGATGGAATGGCCGCCTCACTTGAGCATATCCCTCGGTATTTTGCAAAATCTGGCCCCATTGATGCTGATCCTAAAAAGACGAAAAAGGATGGAGGAGGAAAGGGAAACTGGTTGGTGCCCTCCTATATAGCTTTCACCATTCTTTCACATTATGGGTCTGTACACAAGGACACTACCTAACACTGCACAAGGGGCCGCTCTGGTGAGGAAGTCCAAGATTATGGTTATACCTTCACAAACGCTCGTCGCCATTCAAACAGCAGTAGCCAAGGCATGGCAGACTTTAGAACCAAGTTCGAGACCATTGAACCAGATCCAGTCTTTGAGCACCATCTCCATGGTCCACGGAAGGATCCCATCGAGCATGATCTCTTGATGACCCATGACAAAAATGAAATTGGTCAAACTAACAGCCATGGCATCTAAAATCGGGAGGATTGAACATGTGATGTCCCGTTATTAGTGCTGATATTACACACACATTAGTTGTGGTCACAGTGGCAGACAGGTGCCGATACACTGCTATCAAGGCACCTTCATAGGATTAATTGATCAAAGCGGATGTACCGGTAGAAGATTGAGTAGTGAAATGAAAGGTTATAAGATCGAATCAATGTATCCTTCTTATGTTCTTTATAGCGTTGCTAGATGACCATTACCCATCAAGAATCTCTGCAATTCTGACATCTGTTCTCTGAGAGATTTGGAAGTTCATAAACCTGAAAGGACAAACGGAGCATCAGTATAAACAGAATATTTACAATTTCCGGGACAGACTGCAGTCTACGTGTGAATACAGCCTCAAGATATTCCTATGATATGAATGTTCTCTCATAGGGGAGAGTCCAAGCTATAAAATAGCAGACTTACAGCATTGATACGGCCCGACCATTGAATTTGTTTGTATCATGCAAGCGGTGTTTATCCCTAAATAATCACACAGACAGACAAAAATGATTAAAGCCATGATAACTGCGCCCTTGTAGATGGAGTTTCTGTCTCCAAATGGCGATCCTGCAAATCATCGCTGAACTGCATCATAGCGCCAGTTGGAGGAGTATTTGAAGATGCAACGGCCTCTTCCGCAGAGACTAGGAGTTTCCTGTACCAGAACTCAAGTTTTCCCTCTTCAATCCGTTGGCGAAGTATATCATTCTCCCTGCTCAGATCGCGGCCAATCCTATTACGCTGCTCTTGGGGATATGACGACAAGATAAATTCGAGATCTGAATCGCTAAGCACTATATCCAGCGGCGAGGATGGTACATAGAGTGGACGATGATCTGCATCCGCGCAATGCTCTGTGAGTAGAGTTAATCAATATTCCGATAATCAAATCTGCGAGATATGCTTACTATCCCTTAAACAAAGAGTGAGCGTGCGAAAAAGAGTGACACCGTGGATGTGATCTTCAGATTCATGATCTGTGTTGTCCACATTTCCCGCCAATTGCCAATCGTCTCTGATCATGCATCTGCGCCATACAAGCTTCTGTAGAGGGACCTGGTAGTGCGGACCCTCCTGAGCGGAAGAGTCCAATCGAATGACCCGCAAAGCCAGGTAAAATTCCTTGCCAATGAATTCATTTTGGGTTTCCTCCGAAACTTGGCCGCCATCGATCAGTGTCAACAGATCAACCAGCTGATCAGGCCTGAGAATTTGCCGGGTGATCACTTTAGTGAGCAAGACAGATAATACTTCGTGGAGCGACGGTGTGTCATTCACAAACTTTCCGAACTGGTCAATTGCTAGTTCAGTTTCGGCCTTTTGATCAATTGCGCCCTGCAACGCTGGTGTGATGTAAGCATAGACAACTTCTTGAACAGCGTCTAATTCAGCCAAGTCCTCCAGGCGTCTGATCTCAATATCAAGGATGGGGTTGCCAGTTACACTGCTTTCTTCCCAGGCTGCCAATTTAGCAAGTTTTGACAAGGACAACTCAACGCGATGAGACCAGAGATCTGATTCATGCTCAAGGGCCAAGGTCTCCAACGATCGAGCGGCCGCTTCATAGTCGTTCTCACCGATCGCATCATTAATCCAGCAGAGTCGAGCGTAGGATGAATCTTTATGCAAGAAGCGGTTGATGAAAGGTTGGAACCTTCTCATCGTGAACAGTATCTCTGATTGACCCATCGATATTTGGCGAGAGAAGAAGGCGTCAGCCCAGGGTTCGCCGAACTTTTCGAAGTATGTAGAGATTCTCCTACTGAGCTGTTCTGATTCATAGTTGGTGACATGTTCGGCATGTTCTGAGTCTCGCAATGTCTGATCCTGGAGCTCAATAATGAGTTCTACCAATGCACCCATGTCCCGAAACTTCTCCGCTAGAGAAATTGCGTCTTCTAGCTGCCCGATGCCAGCCAACTTGAACAGCTGCCACCTGCGCTGCTTGGTATGTGTTTGCTCGAGTCCAATGCCTTCATCGACTGATTTGGGATCCTCACGGGAGGAAAGCCACCTGACTCTCTCGTAGTGCATTAAACTCAGCACACGAAGTTGGCGGGCGCTGTTTTCCGCGATTTGGCGGACGAACTGTTGCTCCCGTGGCTCCAAGGGAGTCGTTGTTTGTTGGGTCCATGCCCTACATGTGTCGAGTTCTAGGTCCAAAAGATGTCCCGTTTCGAGATAAACGATACTCTGAGATGTCCAGAATTCAGAAAGACCACCGTAGCCAGACGTCAACACGCCGTCCTCCATGTGCTCGTCTTCGAGCCCGTACTGACGAGCGTGCTCATCACGAAACCGAAAAGCTGTCTCCAAGACAGCCAAGGAAAGCTCACTGGCTTGCACGATTTCTTCTAATACCCTCCGCCCCTGCTTCGTAGAAATTCCCTTTTGAAGTTTGAGGGCCTTGAAGATCCAGGGGATAATGTGTTCCATTCGAAACGTGTCAAAAAGAAACCAGTCGCGCACATTATCTTTGTCCTCGGTCTGATACTCAGATTTCGTTTTAAATTTTTCATTCATCGACCCAATCACATGAGCCAAAAACGTATTTCCTTGGCCCATTACTCTCCTCGCCTTATCTTCAAGCTTCCACAGGGCCCTTTGTGCAGCAAGTTTCTCCGCACTCCACAGTAGCTCGTACCAGGTTTGACGACGCAAAGGTTTTTTATGCTGCAGTAAGAGACGCGCGAGATCATCCAGAGCTTTTGCTCGTAATCTCAAGTTTTGATCTAAAGTAATTGACGTGGCGGGAATATAATAGGAGGTAGACCGCAGCAATTCTCCGCAAATTTCAAGTGTAGCTTCCTCAATCTCTTGGGGGAGGAAGTCGAAGCCGCCTCTGTCAGTTAGATCGAGTGGGTTGCCTGGCCTCGTGCCGTAGAATACGGCTTGTTCAATTTTGGTTTTAGCCGTAATTTGAGCCTCTTCAATCTCATCGTCTGCGCTTTGTCGAGGCATAACTGCGATACGAATGATGCCAAAATTTCGAACCATGACCAAGCATGCGGAGGAAGATCCTTCACCAAGTCCATCCTCACAGCCGCTGCCCAGTAGCTCGTAGTCAGCTCCAGCCCGAAAGGTAATATGGTCATTGAAAGGCGAGGGGAGTCGATCGGAGTCTAGTAAGAGTTGCGAGGTGGGCGAGTCACCATATGAAACCAACGAGAGCAGTAATACCGACTGGCCAATCACGATGAAGGCTGTCGGACTCATTGTGGCTACATGTAACTTGATATTGCGCTGTAGGTCGTTAGACAATGTCGGAGCAAAGTTCAAGTCTATGGAACTGGCAGCCAAGACATGAACTTCTTCTGAAAGCAAGAGCTGCACCACAGAGATGCATCGACAATCTGTTTCCCGGGAAGGCGCCACAACCAGACAAAGGCGCCATGATTCTGCTCCAGTATCCTGTAAACCTTGCGCATTATCTCCGCAGGACGTAAGGGCAAAATCTATAATCTTTAGATCAGCATCACCGGCCCCGTCAGCGTGCTTTCGACCCAAGGAGCGGCATAGATCCTGTCTGATATCGAACTGTTTCTTCATTATGCTCCCATTACTCCAATGGGTATCCCAGATCTCGAACACTCCTGTCGTTGTGCCAACGATGATGTCCCGCTGCCCCCGTTGATGCGAACGGGCAGCCTTTACAGTTGCGACATCCTTCCTCCAGCAACCACCACTGAAGACGCTCTTTATGCCATTCAGTAGCCCACTACTGCTGCTTGAATTTCGAAGGAAATTGGCCATCACGGTTGGCCTTCCTTGAGGATCCCTGAAGGTAATGTGAGCGACTCTGCCCGATGAAAATGTGACAATTACACCGGAGGGCTCGCAGTTTATCACATCAGTAACATATTCACCTGGGAGCAAGCCAGGTATGTGACCGTGAAGCCCACTTTGTCTTTGTCTTGGTAGCCCCAGGGATCCAGCATGCGATATGGTCTCCCAGTAAATAATTCTTCCTGTATACGGCATGATTACCATTAAGCCAGGTACTTCGCCGTTTGCGGAGGAGAGGAAAACCCCAAGGGGGGCTACACCATGCGATTCTCGGCATGATTCAGGAATTGTAAGTGTAAAGACATCCAGTGGGGACGATGCTGATGCGGAGGGAGAATATGGCCATATGATAGCATGCGATACCGTCAAGGCCAACGCGAAGCCATTCCCTGTCCCGAAAACACCTCGAAAATCTACAAAAACGTATTAATACACTGGCTTAGACGGGCTTGTCCATAACTTGCCTGAGTGTAAGCCACGAATCTGGTCCGGAAAAGCAGGAAGTTGAGAGACAGTGTAGAAATCAGTCTTAGACTTTAAAGATCTTCAGTGTTAATAAAGAACCAGACATGACGCGAGGACGACAAAGGCCAGAGTCTTGTTGCGTTAGACACATGAGCCAGACTTACAAGCACAACAGTTGTGTTGACCTCGTTCACTGGTCGCTTCAGTTCATTTAATGGTCTGACCGGTAAAGATCTTTGCATGCCAGGTTTCTTTGCAACCGTTGGGTCGGATTCGTCTCCGGTTTTGGGTGCTGGATCTTTCGACAATCTTTTCTTGGAGTCTGACTGAGTCTCCGAGTAACGCCCAGGACTTTCACTCCGAAGCGCAGAACGCTGTCTTTTAGCATCCGGTGGCTTCACAGACTCATCGGAGCTAGTGCGCTGACGTCTGCGTGGGTTGCGCAACGAGGCCACGGAGGAAAGCCCTGCTTTTGGTACGAACATTATTGCAGGGGTTTGTCGATGTATGACGACAGTACAATAATTTCAGTTGCTGACTCTGGTCCACGCATCTAGGTGACAGTGGTGAAGCAGTAAAGTTGATCACGAGAAGTAGTACTGAGAGACGACGGGGCTGGTGCAACAACGCCTCCCGCTGCTCATATCATATCAAACACAGGCAAAAACAAATTATATGTACGGAGTACGGAGTACACTTTGGAGTACATGCCAAGGGAGGAATGAGAAGGCGGTCAGGCTGTGAGCTCCACATTTAGATGTCAAACATATCAAACACGAATCCACATAGAGCAGACTTTAGAAAGTACAAAACATAGGCAGAGTCTTGGTAGAAATATAGATACCTAGACATGGATATTCTTCCATGGAACAGCTCATGTGTGACATGGTATGTAATTGAAGTGTTAAGAACCTTGTAATGTCTTTAAAGTCACCACTCACGGAGTAAACTATGAGCTCAGGATCAAAATAAAATGACCCAAGAAGCACTTTAATATGCAATGGTAGGACTAAGTAGGTAAGACTTCACTGTTTGCTGCTCTGTTCCTTCTGAAAATATCCATCCATAATACTACTTTCATGATAGGTAATAATTACCTAAATGTCGATCGACAGTTATTTTAAAAGTCTATGGCGAGCTCTACCTTACTATTGTGATGTTATTGATTGTAATCACATGATTTTAGCTTGACTTAAGCCATAGATAGGTAGAGAACCTCTACTACTGGCTTTCATTCACGACTATCTTACCCATAACCCACCAGATGCCACTGTGTCATAATATACCTCTAAAGACACCATTCATAATGCCCACCTATTATATTCAATATGTTCTTTCTGAGTCTAAAATGATGCTTTTATAATCACTAAATCATGTTACTATTCCTCAGTCTGAGATACACAACGATTACCCGCTATGTCCGTGGTCGCTCAACCCCAAGGCTGAAGCCCCATCGCCAAAGTATCGCTCCGCACTCTACTACGACAAGTCTGCACACAGCTCTTTTCTTTCCTGGTTCGGTATCCAATCTAAACCTAAAGATCCCTTTACTGATTTAGGTTCAGGTCATGGCGTACAGCGTGTGGGAATGGCTAGCTCCTGGGTTGATAATTTCCCTAACACGGCCAGACCATTCTTAGAAGAGATGGACGATACTTTAGGATTCAAACTGTCTCGAACTATAGCAAATGGCCCAAATTGCGAGTTAAACAAAACTGAGAATTCCCAGCCTGCTATCATGGCAACGTCAGTATTGATCCTTCGCATAATGGAGAAGGAACTCGGGTTCGACACGAAATCTCGTGTGAATGTAACACTTGGACATAGCTTGGGCGAGTTCTCTGCTCTGGTCGCTGGTGGCTATCTTAAGTTCAGAGACGCTCTAAGATTGGTTCGCCGTCGGGCGGAGATTATGGCTGAATGCACCCGTCAAGCCTCTAAACAATCCGGAGAAGACTATGGCATGGTAGCTCTGATCTGTGAGCCGGATCATCTCGAATCTCTGCTTTCGACCATATATGAATTTACAGGTCATCCATCCCCCGACCTAAAGGATGATTCGAGCCACGGATTGCCCACAATTCAACAAGTTATGGTTGCCAACATCAACTCCAAAAACCAAATAGTACTAAGTGGAAGCATTTCAAGGATCACAACTCTTCTCATCCAGCTTCGCCAATTCGGTGGCCACGATCCACGTGCTGTGAGGTTGAAGAGCGAAAGTCCGTTCCACAATCCCATCATGGCGCCAGCTGCAGGGTATATGAGACATGAACTAGAATACGTCGACATTGACTTTCCCGCACAGCTGCCGTGTATATCAAACGTCTCTGGTCTACCCTTCGAATCGAGGGACGATTTGAAAAGCCTTTTATCTAGACAATGCGTTGAAACTGTTAAATGGTGGGACAGTATTCGTTATCTTGATCAAGATCGAGGAGTCAAAAGATGGATTGGCATTGGACCAGGCAAGGTCGGCAGAAATCTGGTCGGCAAGGAAGTTGGTAAGATCAACACCAAAGGAGGTGGCGTTTGGGCCCTTAGTGATCCTCGAGAGCTAGAGAATGTTTTGATGGCGCTGCGAAACACCGAGGTCGATGTCTTATCTCAATGATAGTGATTCCCCATTATATACATACTTCTCATTTGTACTGACAACCGAGCTCTGCCCATTAAGGACGAAATTCACTGGTAAATTGCCGGACTTTATACGCAAAGGCTTCATTTAGAATGTAGCCCGGCGCTTTTCTGTTCTCTTACCAGACAGCTCAAGACTGCCACCCACCATGGCCTAAATTTTCACACTTTTTCTGGGCAATCACAGCGCCTGGGTTCTTTTGAGTAGGTCGCAAATCAGAAATCAATGATCTGCTCAAGCTGCTCTGACGTCTAGGAATGATCGGGTGCAATTTCTGTCGCAAACTGGTCTGAATTACTCTGAAGGAGTTCCTCGCTAGAAATAACCGGAAAACTTCGGTAGAGTTGTCTTGCAATGCCAACTGCGTATCTTATTGCGCTGCCAAAACAGGATTCGCTTCTGTACTCAGTACAATCATGAGCTACGCGGCTCGGCGATGGTACCTAAAGTAACCATGAACAACTGGCGTTGGCTTTCCTAGCCCTGCAAGCAATTAGTGAAGAGCCAGCCCAGAGTTCTTGAAAGAATTGAGAATGTTCGGTCACTGAAGTACTGCTCATTGTTCGATGCTATCTTGCATGAAGATAGGCATGAGCTTCACTTCTCCGATCTTCAAACAAGCTGACCAGGTCTAATAGTTGCCTCAGTGTGAATCTCGCTCAGAATTTCGTTAATGATCGTATAAGTTCTTGCCCATCAGCGATAGCAGTGGAAAAGCGTTCTCGTCTAAGATCCACGCCTGGCTGTTTTGTTTGAATCGGAGTTTTCAGAACCTAGTCATGCCCGGAGCCCAGGTATCGCCGATGCGCTTGACTGCCGTGATAAATTTTCGATCGACGATTTGCGATGTATTCGAACTTGATGCTGCGGTCTTCGCAGTAGGCGTATAATCGTCCGGAAAGTGGAACGGGTTTTGTAAGAGTTGAACATACGCAGTTTGCAGCGCCCGGAAAGCCTATCCTTCCACATTAGTTCTGCATAGAAATTGCCGGCTGTCTCAATTGTGATGCAAAATAAGATGGTAAAAACATGCCGGCTTCAAGTCCGATTCCCTCAATGTAGCCATCGCACCGATGCCCAAACTTTCGGCAACAACACCTGTTGGTTGCCCTACTGTATCCACTATAATCAAGAACTTCACCCCGGTGGTTGTTAGCCAGCCATATGCGGCTAATCGCTCATCGATCGCATGCAAGAGGCCCAGATCCTGGCCGACTGAAGTCTTTTTCTGCCTTATCTCAAAGATATCAAGGCATGCGTTCAAGGAGAACGAGAAATCTACCAGGGAATTCTGGTACGGTGGGAACAGGGAGACATGGAGAGGATTGTCCTTTGAGGGAATTAGCAGTGGCATCAAATTGCAACGGATTTCCTCACAGCCTTTCCAATCACGCAAATGCAGGCAATCCTAAAGCCTGACATCACTTTGTGGTTTGAGGCTCTTTAGCTCCTTGGGTCAAAGATCACTGGAAAGAAATGAAAGGAAAATGATTAAGCAGGAGAGAAGACTGACGAGCTGGGAGATCGCAGAGCCCTGTTCCTATCAGTTCACAAAGAAACTACTTGATCCTCACTCCTCATTCTGGAGTTGGCACTGCGCCGCTGGTGAGAGCCCGGGCAACAGCCACCCAACAACTTCCACTTTACTAAAAGGCGGCATCTACAATAGAGTCTCATCTCACATTCGTGATCTGAAACTCTGGATGAATGATCAAATAGATGGTAGACAGACAGTAATGCAATCTAGATGCACTTAAGCAATGGTTGAATCGAGTTACCTTTCTACACTAAAAGATTGATTCCCATCATAACAAGCCGCACCAGGATAGATGAAGTAATAACGAACCAAATGTGATGAATCTAATCAAATATCATCATGGCAGGCCTGTGACTAGAGACATAAATTGACGGGCTATACTCCATATACTCAATATTATTGAAATCTGGGGTCCAACACTTCGAAGACAGTGTATCTACAGAGTAGATAGTGTGAATTCAGAACTGGATGATCTTGCAGTTACTAAGCTAGATTGGCCATAGGCCCGGTCATTTTCGGCACAGCGGCGTTACCTTCCTAGTCTGGAGCCGGAACGAAACACTTTCGCTACTTGTACCTCAACCATTTCGTTGCCACTGGGCTTGCAGGGCCTTTGAGCAACAGAGGTTTGGCCCCATCTAGTCACCTACTACTTCTTTATCTGATTAACAGGCGCCTCAGACGAGACAGAAGTATTATCCCAGGATGCTCTCTACATCTAGGCGCGCCGTTCTGGGCGCTCTCCGCGGTACGTCTATTTTTTCTGTCTCGTGGCATTCGTCGGCTCATTTGATATAGTGCGACCAGTTCCAGTTCCATGCCTCCCTAGAGCTCAACAGCTTGCATTACTGTCCACCTCTCCAGTCAAATCAGCGACGGCACTCGAGCATCGGGCGCAGTCCGGGCAGCCTTTGACTGCATCTGGAAAGGTGCGAAAGGAGGTACCCTTGCCGAGCCAGGAGAAGAAAGAGGGTGCAATGCAATATGTCCTGTTCGTGCCCTGCGTCATTTACATACATGCATAGGGAACGTCCGATCATACTCACATTGTCGTTCGCAGTACCACGCTTGACCAAGTTGCCAATTGGGCGCGCCAAAGCTCCTTGTGGCCGATGACCTTCGGTCTCGCCTGTTGCGCTGTCGAGATGATGCATCTGTCGACACCTAGATACGACCAAGATCGCCTGGGAATTATCTTTAGAGCTTCACCTCGCCAGTCAGATGTGATGATCGTGGCTGGTACGTTGACCAACAAAATGGCACCAGCTCTTCGACAAGTTTACGATCAAATGCCTGATCCACGCTGGGTGATCAGCATGGGAAGTTGTGCAAATGGTGGCGGCTACTATCATTACAGCTACTCGGTCGTACGCGGATGTGATAGGATTGTTCCTGTCGATGTTTATGTCCCTGGATGTTCGTTTGATCTCCCTCTTGACTCGTACTTTGAGATTATCCTAATATGAGCTATGCTGACGGGATTATAGGCCCACCCACATCCGAGGCATTGATGTATGGAATATTCCAGCTCCAGAAAAAGATGAGACATACGAGAATAACACGCATGTGGTACCGCCGTTGATATTGTACCCAAGGGGTAGATATCATTAAATCTGGAAAATAGTGACTATGGCATTGTATTCTTACGTACCCAGGAGGCATACTAGTGCATGCAACGAGCCAAGTGTCCTTTGACTGATATGTCTTCGGTGTTACAGATTTTGCTCAATTTAGCAGTTAATACGGGCTTATCATTTGCTATCTCTCTTTCTGACAAACATGCCACCAACCACTGAATGTAAATGGCTCGAACGGTCTGGTGCCCTAGCATTTAGGTAGCTGTTCGTCTGTTGTGAGCCTGAGATTGCTTCTGTGGCAACTGCTTAGCCGTTGACCATGACACCGCCATTGGGGTGCAGGCTTTGCCCCGAAATGTAGCTGCTGTCATGACTTGCAAGGAAAACAAAGCATGTTGCAACCTCGCTAGGTTGGCCCGGGCGACCCATTGGCACGGAGCTGAATTGTTCCATTGCAGAGGTATTCATGGTTGATGGGATCAAGGGAGTCCAGACTAGAGGCTATCTTAGAGACCACCGTCGCAATTATCCGGCATCGAAACTTACTTGGACCAGGGCACACGCAATTGACTCGAATTCCTTTTCCAATTTGTTGGTTGGACAATGCTCGAGTGAACGCAACGATTGCGCCCTTTGTAGATGTATAGTCAAGGAGGTCAGATCGGCCAATATAATGATTAACGGATGCACAGTTGATGATCGTCGAGCCACTTCGCATATGTGGTAGACTATACTTCGACAGATAAAAGAAAGGATGGATGTTCGTGTCAAAGGTGCGTTCCCATTGGGCCCTGGTGAAATAGTCAATTTGATCAGCTCATGCGAGATATCATATCGGCAGCTCTCTTTTCTCCTTTCGTTCTTCCTTTTCACCTCAAAACGCTATCTTGGGGAATCAGAGCATACTCATCTAGCTCGCTGATGTCTTGGACCATGTTCTGGAACGCAGCGTTGTTCACCAGAATGTCAATTCCTCCCAAACACTGAAGGGCGACGTCGACCACTTTCTGGCAGTTTTCTTTTTTCCGAAGATCTACTGCCAGGCAGTGACATTCTTTCCCAGCTTCCTGCACTCTTCTCTTTGTTTCTTGAGCATCTCTCTCTTCCTCGGGCAGATATACGATTAGGCTAGATGCACCTTCCATGGCAAATAGTATGGCAACAGCGCGACCAATCCCAGAGTCGCCACCCGTAATGATAGCTCTCTTTCCGGCGAGTTTCCCGGCTGCCTTATACGTCTGGTATCCATTGTCGTCGGTCGGTATGCGGGTTGACGCAGGCTTGGGATCCTCCAGTTCCGCCTGTAGCCCAGGCTTTTTCTGGTGCTGGATTGGGATCCGGTGACCTCCAGTGCAGGTAAGAATCATCAACAGAGCGGCTCCAAAGATGCGGACTCACCAGGCTGAAATTGTGATTCAGCACCGCTTGCTGGCTTTTCCGTGTACTCTTGCATGGTGGTGATTCAGTAGCAATTTTGACAATCTCAATTTGATACCTCGCTTATATCATCCAGAATGCAGCTTTCTGAACAAGCTAAAGCGCGAGAAAGGATATTTAGAAAGATAATAAAGTCAAGTTATAGCATTGCAAATTGGGCGCACACGGTCATGTCTGCCGCAAGATCACATCGTCAGGATGACGTTTTCAAGCAACACAAGAACCTAGGAATTGAGAGCCACGAAACATCTTCGAAGTATAGCCACGCACGTACAAGAACCACCTCGCAATCATTACTTCGAGCTGGCCTAGGTGTTGACGATAGAAATTCCTGTGCAGATGAGCCTCGACGGTCTCCTAGACGTGACGTTATCAAGCAACGAAGGACTGGCGTATGTGACGATCTAGACCGTCATGAGCACCTTACTTGAGGAGAAACGTGGTTGATATATCTTCAGAAGTTCTTTGTGAGCTGAACAATCGTCAGCGAAACATCACGTCAATAGAATGTGATAAGGTCTGCTTATTACTGGACTGGCCTCATCAAGGTTCGCAATCAGAAATATTGTTCTGAACTCACTCCAGAGACCGCTGAAAATTTTAGATGCCAGGGTATCCAGATTGTGGGAAACACCTCAGTTATCCTGTCATGCACAAATCTTGAGAAAGGGCTTATTTTGTATACTAAGTATCCATTGGTTGTTCTGCAGTGGTACAATTGTAGTGTTTTACCTAGATATAGATAGGGTGGAGAAGTAAATCAGATTCTGATATCAGTCTTTAACTTATTTACTTTGACCCGTGCCAAATGAAGAATGAATCATAAACCTGATGTTAAATCCATTTTAAATCCATCTTGTCACGCGCCTAAGTGATTGAACTAGTACCTTACCCTAGGCCTGACGATTTGGGAGTCTTTGACAGGCAATAGCAGGCTGGCAGCAGGCAATTTGATTTAACTTCAGCAGTACGGAGTATTTAAGGTATGTCAGCAACCCAGTCACCCAGCATTACTCCGTATTATTATCCACCTCGGGGCGCGCTGGTAGATACCAATAACACAACCAGGCTTAGTGGAGCGGGAAGCTTGGCAGAGGTTTTCTGCATTTTCAATTTTTTTTTTACCCTCTCCTCTTTTCTCCGACTACTCTTTTGCTCTCTATTTTTCCCCTCTTTCTTCTTCGCGCTCTCCAACAAAGCCTTCTTCTTTGTTCAAATAACAGCACTGGCCGATGCCCTCACGGGCCTTTCTGCAATGAATCAAACGGTAACACAAAATCCAGCTGAGGCGATAATTCAATCCCCAGCATCCAGATCGATTCACAGCGGGTATAACATGCCTATCAAGTCAGCGTTATCTACACCATGGGTCTTTCTTAGTCCGACAACCTCACTGCATGCGAATACAGTTGATTCTGCAAAGTACTTTCTGGATTCCCTTGCACTCTCTGTCAGCAATTCCCAGCTTGCTCGTCAGCGCATTAAGCGTAAGCGGAAGCGATCAGATTATGAGCAAGAATCTCTGCATCATGTGTTACAGTTGAAGGAACTATTTGTGCAAGGATTTACTTCCGACCAAATCTGGGAACAAGCCACAAGAATATTAGACTCTGCCAAACAGGAAATTGAGCATGATTCTGCTCTTGTTGCTCAGCATGTCGAACGAGTTTTTTTGGACGCGAGAGCGTCGCCTGTTCAATCGCACGAGGTCGAGTCTGATGATACCTCTAACATTAGTGATATGTCGATTTCTTCAGAATCGGCCACCGATCGTTCAGACCACGACTCTGCTCCTGATGATGATATGGAATTTGAACCAGAGTCACGAAGCATGGCTGAGGACCCCTCAGACGAAGATAGTGGGACTGATGTGGAAGAGTCTGAGAACGATAACAACAATGGCCGCGATACCTATGTACAGGACCCGTTCGGGCTGAATGACGGCTTTTTCTCCATTGACGAATTCAACAAGCAATCCGAGCTTCTCGAGATGCAAGATGCGAAGGGCGGGATAGATGACGATTTGGAGAGCGACGAAGAGGAGATAGACTGGCATGTCAATCCGTTAGCTGCTGGTGGTTCTGTGCCTCACCAGGCCATGCGACCAACAGCGCAGAGGTCAAAGAGTCCTTTCGAGGACGGAAGTGAGAGCGGTAGTGACGAGGAAGGGCCGACTTTCGATAATGTCGCGGTCGAAAATGACTTCGATTTGGACGATGTCGATGCGTATGCAATTGGTGCGGATACCACTCATTGGATGAACACCAGTGATATCAAGTACTCGGATTTCTTTGCGCCCCCCCCACGGAAGGCGACTTCGATGAGAATGCGCCCTCTTCCCAAAACACAACCTCATGGGGCTCCTGTCGAAACTGATATCGATCGCGCGATGGCTGATGTTCGGCGTGATTTGCTTGAGGACGATGGGTCGCTGGATGGAAATGATTCTTCCGATAATGAACTAGCGGATTCCAAACATCAGCATTCGGCTCATGAGAAACAACGCGCACGGATTGCCGACGAGATCCGTCGCTTAGAGGCTGCTAATGTTGCGAAGAAAGATTGGATGCTTGCTGGTGAAGCTCGAGGTGCCGAACGACCTATGAATTCCTTGATCGAAGAAGATTTGGATTTCGAGAGGGTTGGAAAGCCGGTACCAGTCGTCACGACGGAACTTTCTGGGGACATTGAGGAGCTGATTAAGCGTCGAATACTTGCGAAGGAGTTCGATGAAGTAATACGCCGTCGTCCTGGGATTTCGGAAGGGCAGACTGCGAAGAGAGGAAAATTTGAACTGGAAGACACTAAACCTCAACAGAGCCTGGCTGAGCTCTTTGAGACTGATCATCTCAGGGCTACTGATCCGAACTATGTGGACCCGAAGAATCAAAAACTTCTACGAGAACATACTGATATTTCAAACCTCTGGAAAGAGATAAGCGACCGCCTGGATACGCTTTCGAACTGGCATTACAGACCCAAAGCTCCTCAAGCAAATATCAACGTGATCACGGATGTTGCTACCATTATGATGGAGGATGCGCAGCCTGCAGCTAGCAGCGCTGTAGGAGGATCAGCAGCCCTTGCTCCCCAAGAAATATATGCTCCGGGTGATAACGGCAAGGTTGTTGGAGAAGTAACACTCAAGAATGGAGAATCTATCGCGAAAGATGAAATGACACGCGATGAGAAAACCAAGCTAAGGAGAAGGCACAAAAAGCAAAGAAAGGCTGACTCCGACCCCGCAAAACAACAATCAGGGAGAGCCGTTGAAAAACAACAAATCGTCTCAACCTTGAAGAAGGGTGGTGTCAAGGTGATTGGTAGAGAGGGCCACCTCACTGATGTTTATGGTACCAGAGACCGGGAGGGCACCACGAAAACTGGTGCCGATATCCTCAAGCTGTGAGATTACAATCACCTACCGTCAATATCCGATGACTGAGTGTCTGTAATTACAAGAATTTCTCTGGATCTGGAGAAGACAGAGGCCTGGTAGATTAGCGTATTTCGTTCGTCTGTAGCTATATATCGGTATATGATAATGTGGTTTGCCTCTTTGGCCCTTGATTATTGCCCTATTGCTCTAAGACTGCCGTGCTCCGATCTAGATCTCAACCGGATTGAGTAGAGAAAGATATTCTCCCTTCTGTACGTATCCGCGTCAGGGTCGTCACGAACCTCCTTGACATCAAAGACCCTCTTAGCGACTTTCATGAAACGGAGATCTGCTCGCCTACGCCTCTTGAAACAGAAGTAGCAAACTGATTCGGGTCCCAGCAGATCTTGCAAGGTTGAAATGAGGAGGGGAAATGCCGGCTCGAAGTAGACGCAGTCCGCAGCGAGTACGATCGCAGGATGAGTCGGTAAACAGTCTGGGAGACTCTCCCCCCAATTTAACACTGTCGCCGCAACAGCAGTTGAGAGATTGTTCAGCTCAATGTTCGTTTTCATCAAGTGTAACATTGGTTCTTGGTCTGTGACGTAGATAGGAAAAGGACCGACATTGCAACCTCGTGCAACTGCGAGTCCCACAAGGCCCCCGCCAGCTCCTAGTTCAACTCTAGTTAACAACGCATTAGTATAATCTCATAAGGGGAGGTTGTTGTGGACTTTCTAATAAGAAAAATGGCAGTGCACAGACATCGTCTTGTTAGAGAGATTATGGCGGTGTTGCCGCAGCAAGTACTTGGCTAGGACAATGCCCGCTGGCCATAATTGACCACCACAACCCTCTTTAAGGTCTTCTTTGAGGATCAGGGGCTCTTCTAGGAGACCGTCAAACGAAACCAAAGTATTTCCAGCCGATTTTAGCTCCCTGACAGGGACTAAGTATTCGCTGACATCGAAGGTTGCCACCGGATCGGATGATGAGGGGCTAGCAGAAATAATTCCTTCCATCAGGAGAAATTCTGCACCCACAAAAAAATTCTTCTGAGGTTAACAAATGTCTATCGAAACAGAATATTAACGAAACTAATTGGTGTCTAAAATACCTCAGTCAGACACTGAAGCTTGAGCGTTCGAAAAATAGTATGAACCAATAGGGGAAGAGAATTGAGGAAGATTAAGGTCTAAGGTATGTTCAGAAAGAGCCGAAGAAAAAGGGAAAAGAAAGCCCATGTTTTTTTGATAACTTTGATTGGGCATTTCTCCAGAATGAGGAGAAATGAGGGGCGGAGAAATTAAATGATGTCTATCCTTTGGCGGTCGTCGAAACTTCATACTACTAGTTATCTCTATCTATCTTTAGATAGATGAGGCCATGGCTGATGAAGTATTCATTTCTTCCTACTCTGTTTACTCTGGTCCTCGTCGTCTTCATCTTCATCACCTCCTTCTTGGCCTCAAACGGGGACCGTCGAGACCAGAGTACATATAATTATCCTACAATTCTACTTTAGGCCTCTGGCTTCCTGTCAGGAAATGGGAACACGCGTCGTAATTCTTGCTAATATCCTGCCTGAAATGAAGGGAAATATTTTTTCCTTGTGACTTCATAAACTTGAAAGGTTTGGCGGAATGAATCGGCTTAGCGAATGCAACTCATGATTGTCGAGGCTGGAGGCTCTGTAGTGGAATAGAGAATAGAGAGATTAGTATTCGTTTGGTCGAGACCTACTACTAAGATCCCTCCTACCTCACCACCCAAGCATGGCTGGTTATCATGGATTAATGGTACCTATGTATGTGTCTATTGCTTGACGTCATGCCACTTGCCCTTCCCCACACCAAGGGATCTTGCTTCCAGCCTCCTACCTTAACCTTTGGTAAATCGACTTTATTATCTGAGCTGCCTCGATTGATTGGTCCGCAACATGTCTTGATCCCTCGTATCGGGATCTTCACACTGCAGCTTGTCGGCATGTCCTTGTCTTTAGATCATGACGACGTCACTGCATATCCTGCCAAGTACCTACAGTATGATGGCAACCCCATGTGACCTTGATTCAGTAGTGTTCAAATAGCGATTCTTCCCCATTTAATGAAGGACAAATTTGTTAACATCTTACAATATACACAATCATTGTTACAAGGTGATACTTCCACACTCAAAATGACCACGCTCCACTGTAAGTGTGCCATCTTGTTTTTGCCCTGTGGTCTCACTGAACATTATAATAACTTATCATCGGCCAGATCTCCCTCCCGTGAAGCCCTCGGCGATTGCGATGGGCACTATCTTCACCCATACGGCTTCACTGGGTATTCTTGCACCTGTCTTCGGTGACACTTATCATCGTGCGCAGGCCGCCAATTCCAAAGAGGAATTCATCAAGTCCAAGGAGGCTGCTGGAGCAGCGGCGGCTTGGGGTAGCTCTCTGGTTGGAAGCGCTGTGCAGACTTATGGTGTTGCAGCCTTGATCAATGCTACGGGAACACTGAGCTATAAGGGAGCTGCTTATTTGGGAAGCTTGATTTTCATGGCCAGTGCCGCACCAAGTGTGAGTATTCGATTCTCTTACCCCAACGCTCACATGATGTACTGATTTTGCGTTCTGTTTCTAGTTCATCAGCCAAGTCTTCACGGAAAAGCGACCCCTCGATACTGTTGCTGTTGGTGCTGTCAGCAGAGTGTTTGAGACAGTCGGGCTTAGTTTGTTCCTTACCTGGTGGGGTACACGCACAAATCCTTTTGATTAGAAGCGACTCCTGTTTATGGTTAGGGAAATGGTTATTTTGTGAATTAAGACCTGAATTTGAACTAAGCCAGATATATGATTCTATTCCTTGCTCATGCCAAAGTTCTACAACCATACAGGGGCCAGTTTCAGATATGTAGCTAGACTATAGGCAACTTTTGAAGAAAGCTTAGTTTGAGACATTTGAGTCCTCTGCCAGAAGAATTGGATTAACAGCTGTCTTCCTTGCGTATTGCTGCATGCGATTGTACATATTTAAATTTGAGAACATGATAAGTCTTCAGGATCATGACGCCATATCATGCACTAAACTCCTAATAAATGATATTCGACATTTTCTTTCTCATTCCTATAAGACATGGTGTCTTTTCACATCAGTGATTAATATAGACGAATAGTTCCGGAGAACATAAGAGTATTCTTAGATCATATAATTTTACCCCCCTACATGGTAGCGGAACTTATCCAGCGAAATTTCCTATGTACATGTAGCTAGCTAGGATGTAAGACTGGCTCTGCATTATCAGAAAAAGGCGGACATTGCCGTCAGCCTGCTCTATTTTGTCCACTTCTCATTTGAACACTTTTCGCTAATAGATGGTCTACGTCCCAAGATAGAAAGAAGATAACAAATTCGATTCAGATGTCAAGTTAACGGATACCTAGACGAACGTCCGGCAGGGATACCTAGATTCAAATGTTAGTCAGGGCAACAAAGTGCGGTGATAAACACATACATAGCAGGATAGCCTTGACCTTGACCAAGCTGGTACTTAGCCACAGAAGCGTTCAAATTACAAGGAATTGGCGGCAAACCATCGGCGCCCAGAACGCCCTGGATGCCCCTCTTGTCCTTCTCAAACACAGCAGCTAAACCACGCTCTTCTCCTTGTTGCTTAACTGCAACCAACTGCTGCTCTCCTGCCTGCCCGATCTGCAGAACATCATCCTTAGGCACCGCCCGGCTGCCTACTGTAAGAAGGCCAACAGCATCTGCCTGGTTAACTGTGCTAAGTCTGGGGTAGTTTCTCCGAGCGTCGCGCTTCCAGTAAGGGTTGTCGGCAATGTCTCCTGCTGGGACAGTGACGGGGTCATCATAAGATTGCGGTGGGAGAGCACCAGGAGTCGGAAGTCGATATTGCGAGTTAAGTGGTACTCCGGTAGAGCGATTGGGATCGACGGCAAGGAGACAGCGAAGACGTTCCCATATCCCGGTAGACTGAACGGTGTATTTCTGATTATCAAAATTAGAAGTGAAAAGTACCACCATCGGCATAGTCAAATGCCTACCTTATGGACGGCTACCACGTTCGATGCGGACTTGGCGGCTTTAAGGACGTCGCGAGCCATGATGTGCTTGGAGATCCTATTCAGTTTTCATATCAGCCTCGCAATGCCTCCATTGTCTCACTGGTCATGATGAACACCAGTATAACAACCCTTTGACTTACTTGAGTCGGTCCTCCGAGGTTCTTAGTCTCTCAATATGTGTCTTTCACTCGCCCTAAGATGGAACGGAATCAAGCGCTGTACTGGATGGAGGAACCGTGAACGGACAATCTGTTTTTCCGACACCCTGCCTCCTGATACCCGAACATTCAGTGGGCGATCAGTTAAAGATACGACACAACCTGTACAAAAGTTTCCCTGTTGATGTATCACTGCAAGGATTAGCTAATGAGGCCTCGAACTAGTCGAATATAGGGAATTTAAAGTCAGGGTTGGCATGAGAGAAGGAACTTTGCCGAATCTTAATCTGTGGGGAGAATCTACAGCTAGGGATATCAGATTTCATCAAGCACCTCCGTAGCCACTCTTATAGAGATAATGGTACGAAGTTAAAACGTCGTCAGAAAATAATATAGTTATGGATCGTTCATCTCTATTTGCCGAAGATGATATTCATTGAAGATGGTAGCTATACTGAACTAAAATCACCAGTAGCCATCACCATAAGCTTTCCTTTCTTGGGATAAGTTTCTCTTTCATTGCAAGGATTGTCAAAGCGTGAAGTAGGACATGAGGTATGAAAAGTGATCTCAGAATCATCAATGTCACATGGTCCCCGCGCAGCTGAAAAGTGCTCTTAAAAAAATGTTTGATGCCTAAACCCGACTTTCCTCAGGGACTTCAACTGATTCACTCTTTGATCTGTCTTTGCCCTCTTCAGAGCGTGCTGAAATCATTTGCTGCACAGCATCCACAGTTGCGTCTGGCCCACCGGGTTGCAAAAGTAGGACCTTTCCTTGCTTATCGACGGCGAAAACCCCCCTTGTCGTACCTCTAGGAGCCTTCTTAAAGCCAAGAGCTGAAATGAGAGTAGACGCCGTATCACAAAGTAGAGGATAGGGTAGGCTCTGCTTGGCTTTGAACGAGCTGTTTGCTTTGATAGAATCTGCCGAAAGCCCATATATCGACAAACCAGTTGATGTTATAGTCTCATATTTATCGCGAAACAAGCAAGCTTGCTTTGTACCTAACAAGCGATGAGCTTTCGTTCGACTTATGGGATTATTCAATCCATTGTGAGAGCCAGGAACTATAGCATAATACTGCTACCGAGAGGAGGGATGCAATCACTCTCCCGAAAATCCACGGGGCACTACACTCAAGACCTGCAAGGGAGAAATGTGGAGGAGATAAACTCACAGCCAGGCGTCGACGCTCTCGGGTATGTGAACAGAACAATCCCTGATTTGCTTGTTTCGACGAGATGTTTGAGGGTAGTCTTCATTCCATCATTGAGTTCTACCTCGCCACCAAAGCCATCCAAATCGATAGTGTCACCGACAGTTGGAGGTTTTTTGTATGAGACATGCGTAGGGCGCTCATCTTCCTTGCTTGATTGTACCGAGGCTGGACTGGTGTCCTGACTCGTCTCTTGTATCCTCTTGCTCTTTTTCTCTGTGATAGGGGTTTGTGGTAGTGCTTTCCGCTTCCTGAGTTCTACCATGATGCAAAGTTGATATTCGAGCAGCTGAAGAAGCAATTGTTCTTAGTGTGCGGTATGTCGTCCGATTTTCTGAGATGCTTTCAATGCTGAGGGGTGTTGAGGCCTAGAAGGGCCTAGAATACCCTTTTATACCTCCAGGATCCTTCCTGGGATGAAAATGGGGATTATGCACAGTTCCACACCGACTTATTTTCTGAGTTGGGAAGCAGTCTATGACTGCTGTGAGTTAATGCACCTCTTTCCTCTGTAGCTTAAAATGACTTGACAACGATAGTAATAAATTATAATAGCAACATTGAGAAATAAAAAATGTTTAGATTCAGTGAGAAAACATGAAGAAAACGGATGTCCAGACAAGGAGCAAGAGACTCCTACGGAGTACATAAAAAGACATTATTGTAGCATCATATAGCATCCTGACAGATGGCTCTTCGACCAATCACTCACTTGTGATGATTCATAATATAATTTTGAACTAAAGGTTCAGAAGTTCTTTGCAGATAATAATAGGAATATTAGCTATGATAGAGAGGTAACTCTCCCATTTTGTCTGCCGAGAAATTCCGATCCCTGACCGAACCCGCCTTTTCCCCGGGTTGTTCGCGAGTCGGATATGCTAAAATTTTCTTCTCCCGCGTTCCATTACTGTCATTGCACGAAAGCCTGTGATCGCCATCCCGTTTCATCATTTATTTGAGGGCTTCTTACTCATCCTGTAGTTGGATATTTGCCTCTGTTTCTACGCTCCTTTCTTACTAGTAGGCTGTCTTTTTCAACGTTCACATAGACTTTTGCCCTTTTATACGCCACTTTATACGCCATCCCTATCAATATTCTCGAGTCCACTGCTAGTCCGATTCAATCAGCACGACGTTCAGCAGACTACACTTTTGATTCGTGCTCTTCAGGAAGCGACTCCGTTGCTCAGGGATCTCTGCATCTATCATTGTCTCCAAGCTTTCCCCGTCATGAAGGTCTTCTCCTCGACGTGCACCTTCCATTATTCTTGGGACGAGGTTTCGACGGCGAACTGGCGCAAATATTGCCCGTGGAATGACAAGTCGACCCATGTTGTGGCCGTAGACACAATATCTCGGACGGTAGATCCGACGACTGGCATTGTGGGTTTTCCTATCAATATCATCATTCTCCACATGTCGGACGAGATGGCTAACCTGAACCTCCTATTCAGTTGCGTACGGAACGCCTCATCACATGTGACCAATCAGTACCGCAATGGGTTCTCTCACTGTTCGGGGGAAGCGCTACTTCGCATGTCTACGAAATCTCATACGTTGATCCTGGCTCAAAGAAGGTCACTATGTGTTCAACGAATCTCACATGGTCCAATGTTCTGAACGTCAGAGAAACTGTTATCTACCAGCCTTCGTCATCAAAACCAAACTCGGTCACAGATTTCAGTCAAGAGGCCAAAATTACTGCACTTTGCGGCGGCTGGCAGAAAATTAAGAATAAGGTCGAGGAGGCTAGTATCGAGAGGTTCAGCCAAAATGCGAAGAGAGGCAGAGAGGGTTTCGAAACTGTTCTTGAAATGAGCCGAAGGGTTTTCGGTGAGCAACGCGAGTTCGAGAACAAGAAATTGCAGTCCTGAGCTGCTCATGTCTTCGTGAACTTGTCACCCTTATTGTTCCATCAAGCGGTTGCATTTACTGGCGTTTTCAAATTTGTTCTGTCTTTCTTCTCGATGCATGCTATTTGAGCCGGCGTTCTGTTGCAATCCATTTCATTCAGTTTCATCTGCTTTCGTGTTCTCACTTTTTGCGCATGCATACCCTTTATGCTGGGCTCGATCAATATCACCCCAGCTCCGACGGCTTTGATGCCCCAATTCTCACGATGTTCATGGCTTCAAAAAGTTATACCAATCCGCGTCTGTTGATTTCTCTCCTCTCGATATTGTTTCAGTCTCTTATGCTTTCTGGTTCTCCATGTGCTGAGTGAAATATGTGGAAGCAATATATCCTGCCTCGTTTCTCTAGAATAGAATAGATTTTGTCCTTTCCTTCAAAGGATTAACTCACAAATCTACGTAGCCCCAAAAGTACATCTCACACAGGAGCACCTCTGCAACTTGATCGAAAGGCCAATCTGGAGGAAATGCCACGCGCCAGTTCTGAAGACTTCCATGACGGCGAAAACTTGAGATTTGAATCAGCCTAGAAGACCGCCCAAAACAACACGACTGACACCAGAAATTTCATTTTTGGCGCTGGTTCTACTCGCATCCTCGAATTCTCGAACGACACCTGTGACCATTATCTTTCGAAGCTTTGCGTCTGCCTTTGAAAACATCTCGCCCAAAGCAACTGTGCATACAGACGGAGTGGAGACCAAAGAGGTGAGCCTGGTATAGCAGTCAATCAGTACGTCGCAAAGAGTGGCGAAGGTTTCGAAATAGTCCGGCTCAAAAGGTAACGACGGCGTCAAAAGATAGGAATATTCCTCCCCTGGGAGAAGTTCGGAGGCTTCACTGGTGGGGAACGAAACAACAGCGGCAGCCGCAGTGGTAGACGAGGCGATATTCCCCGTCATGGACTTCAAGTCAGATGGGTCGCTATATTGCATGGGAAGACCGATTTCCGTTGCAGAGCTAGCCCTCCTGCCCTTGGTTCCAGCGTGTGCGGCTCTTTTGAACATTTGCGGAATGCGTGCTCTTGCCAGGGTTGATGATGAACTTCCATCCGGTGGGTGGACTTGCTGGAATGCCTCAAATTCAATCAAGAGCGCGTTTAAGGCACGTAAGTATTCTGACGGTGATGAATTTACGTCCAGAATTGGCGGAAGTGATAATCCGAGGAGAAGATAGTTAATGGCGCGACGGGATAGTTTTCGAGTATCAAAATAGGGGATTCGGCTGATGTCAGCTCGAGAGAAGTGTACTGTGTTGAACCAGTAGATACGACCTTCATGGCTGTAACTTTATCAGCGGTTGGTTTGATGGAAAAAGGGCTAGCTTTTGCTTTGAACTCACGCTTTCCTAAGGTAATCTAGAGTAGATATTCGTTTGGTAGCCATGTCGTGAATATGCTGATAGATAGCCCCAGCGCTTTGAGGACCGAATGATCCTCCCCCACTTGTCAAAGGAGGGGGGATACTACTTCCTACACCCTCATGTCCGACACTTGATTTGTTTGTGTCTCTGCGAGAAAGGCTAGGGGTAAAGGTTGACGATATCATGCTTGAACTGGGCGCCGGACAAAGAGCAGCTCCAACAGTGAGTGAAGCAGGCAGAAGCCCGCTCTCATTGAGGGGTAGCTGGCGAAAACTCGATTGTGCACTGCAGTCGAAAATATGTTGGTTGACGAGATGCGGATATGCCTTGACTGCTCAATAATGTGGAGATCTATGTAGTTAAGCCCCTGCAAGAATAATGCATGGGCCCGGCCCTTGGATAGTTGATCCTGGGCTGGCTCCGAGCCAGGAACGGGTTAGCCCACCTTACGAACTCCATGACCGCGTCCACAATGGTAGGATAACCAATCTACTCCGTACCAAATGGGTGACCTAATTCAAGTCAACCGAGAGCTCAACCACTGATTTTGAATTCTCTTAAAATTCCAAGGATCATGGACATCATGGTTGAACCTTTGCATGGAGAACCACAGTTCTAGTAAACCTTGACTATGCAACTGTTTACCCGGCACTCATATCGATTTATGCGGGTAAAGTGGAATAATTATTTTGGCTCCCAAGTCTCCAAATTCCTTATTCAATAATAGTGCAGAAGACCCCGTGATAATGACTGGATATTGACTGGGGGTAGTCCGTAGTCCCTCTGTACCGTCAATTCTATCTCATAGCTTGTGCATAGCTGATATGCTCCGTAATAGCTAGTAGCTAGACTATCTAGTCAGTAATGAAGCTGTGGAATGACCGAAGTACCATGACATTACGCAAGTCAATGTCTAACAGTGATACATATAAAGTGACCAACATCTAAGTAAACACTCCTCTAACCGAGCTTCTCCTCAAATACGGAGTACCTCTCTTATATGCTAAATAGACGAAGAAGCCGAGGCGCTTTGGTACAGAGTAAATGGTAATAGATAACACCCCACCCGCCCCCACCTCCTTTTTGATTCTGTAATTTCTGGCTTGATGAACTCTCCCTGTCGCCTCAACCTTCGAGTTTCCCCGAATTTGATCCCAGACCATTTCTACACCAGAATCGACGCGCTCGTCTACATTACAACAAGGAGCTAATTGCCCATTGCCAAAAGCGCCTATCCAAACAATGAGCGTGTCGCCTGAAGAATTAGTCCCTGCGCCAGGACATTGGCCTGTGGATCCGCAGGATGATGTACCTATACTGGAAGATCGTATCTGGGTAGATGGGTGTTTTGACTTTAGCCATCATGGTGAGAAGTCATTCCCCTTTGGTCTCAAGTCATAGGATTCCCTAATCAAGGGTGACTGGATCCATGTAGGACACGCCGGTGCTATGCTTCAAGCCCGTAGACTGGGTAATGAACTCTATGTTGGGGTACACTCCGACGAAGCAATTCTTGAGAACAAGGGACCGACGGTAATGACATTAGAGGAACGGTTAGTCTTTCCCTACGAACTGGGCAGGTCAACATAGGTTGCTGATAGCGGGTACCGCCTACTGCATGCTTTAGGGTAGCTGCCGTGGAAGCATGCCGTTGGGCCACTCGTTGTATTCCGCGAGCTCCTTACGTGACTTCTCTCTCATGGGTATCACACTATGGATGCCAATATGTCGTTCATGGAGATGATATCACATCTGACAGCAACGGGGAAGATTGCTATCGATTTGTCAAGGCAGCTGGGCGCTTTCGGGTGGTGAAGAGGACTCCTGGCATTTCTACGACCGACCTTGTCGGCCGTATGCTCCTATGCACTAAAGGGCACTTCATAAAGAGCCTTAAGGACACCCTTGCGGGAGTAGAGGGATCCGGAAATCAGGAAGAGAGGAAACAATCCGGTGTGGAGCTAATGCAAAGGATTCGGGACTATGCAACAGATGAGAGTGGTCTGCAGCCTGGTCCTCATGTTTGGACTTGGACTGGTTCGAAGCCGGCAAAGCTTAGCGACACGGTTGAGGAAGCTGGTACATTCGAAACCCTGGTGAATGGCAAAACAATTAAGCCAGGACAGCGGGTAGTTTATGTGGATGGTGGCTTCGACTTGTTCTCGTCGGGTCACATTGAGTTTCTTCGACATGTTCTAGAGCTTGAGGAGTTGGAAGGCCGTCAACGAGGATGGTATGACTCGGAACAAGTCAAGAAGAGACTTAATGACTTCGGTGAAGATTATCCCCCGGCTTATGTTGTTGCCGGGATTCATGATGATGATGTGATCAATCACTGGAAGGGATTCAATTATCCAATCATGAACATTTTTGAGCGGGGGCTTTGTGTCCTTCAATGCCGAGTAAGTTGCATTCCCTCACTCGATGGTTCATACAACCTCTAATCATTTCTCCTAGTATATTCATGCTGTTATTTTCTCCGCGCCCTTCTCTCCTAACCAGTCCTATTTGGAAGCCATGCCATTCGGTGTCCCGGATGTTGTTTATCATGGGCCAACAACCTTCATTCCACTGACATACGACCCTTACACTGCTCCCAAAAGAATGGGCATATTTAGGCAGATAAGCGATCATCCTTTTCAGCATGTGAATGCTGGTGAGATCGTTGAAAGGATTCTCAAGAGCCGTGAAGCTTATGAAGAGCGACAACGCGCCAAGCTACAGAAGGGCATTGTTGAAGAACTGGTTAAATCAAAAGAAAAGAGTCTGGCTGGGGAACGCGGCACACAGTGACTTGATGATCTCTTTGTAAATTATCATGGAATCTCCTTGATACTATAGCTGATCAGATTATAGAAGTCAATCATCTTGCAGGGGACGTTCTGACTCTTCCTTCAATACCAGCTCAAACTAGGGATTATTGTAATACAGTAAATACTGAGTGTTAATGTCAAGTGTCAACCAGGCGAGCACAATTTGTAGCCTTCAAGTTATTGAGTAGCACAAAGGTAAAAACTACATTCTTGCCTTTTGAGAATATCAGTACATCATAACACACTGAAAATCATGATAATTCTAAGGTACACTAAAGAAGATGGAATAGAAAATGATTAACCTGAATTCTTTGCCCGTCATTGAACCTCACACACAAGTTAATCAGCTGCCACTAGGACCCCTTTCTCCTCAAGCAGCTTTGCGAGCTCCCCATTCTGATGCATAGACATCAGGATATCGCAACCCCCAATAAATTCCTTCTCAAGGTATAATTGTGGTATTGTTGGCCAATCAGAATATTCCTTGATACCTATGGAAGCCGGAGAGATTTAGCCAGACTGAAATTCACACGCACATACACACACACAATCTGCTGTTCTTGAGAATGGGTCACTCTACGTACCCTGACGCAGCTCAGGATCCTCCAACACGTTGAATGCAACAAATTTCTTTGGGTCAACACCCTGCAAACCCAGAATCTGTATGCTAGCTCGAGAGAATCCACATTGTGGTGTCTCTGGAGTACCCTTCATGAAGAGGACGACAGGTGCAGACGCAACGGCTTTGTCAATTGCCGACCTTGTCTGTTCCGAGAGAAACCGGGCATGAAGGGCATGCGGCAGTTGGAAAGCTGTGGATCGTAAGGTCAAGACATGTGGTGACCGGGAAAAAGGGCGGAATGCCTGGATGGACACAAGTAAGCTCAAAACGGGCGAACAAATTGTGACAGCAGGTAAGGTATGCTTGACTTACCGACGCAAAAGCTTGTCTCGAGAACATCATACCTTTGTCAACTCTGGCTGGACTGACCTCTCGAGAAGTTTTACGATACAGATAAAATGCTTGTAATATTCCAGGCCCAGAGAGGTACTACCGAAATAATGTAAATGGTGAATCTTATCATGTGACATTAGTCCCCGTGCCTTCCAGTTCCCGCCATGGAACGCGGTACCCCACAGGATCGATAAACGGGGATTGCGGATGCAAAAGAATTGTCCCAATCAAATCGCCATCAGTCTTCAATTGTCCCAGTTCATCTAAATAAAGGGTGTTGAGTGATTCTATCAGATCAGATCCTTGGTTGGGCCTTGGCAGTTCAGCTCAATCACTCGAATCCACCACAGCTGACAGTTCCCCAACGCCTATCACCGCATATGATAACGTTGCCTGTGCGAGTGTAGTCATTGTGTGAATGTGGAAGATCGATGGAAGGCACTGGGGCTTCCTCTTCAGTTGAATCGCAATTCAAAGATAACAAAATACACATTCTTTTAGCAGCAAGCGGGAGTGTGGCAACGATAAAATTGCCAAACATCGCGGAAGCTCTTGGCCGTCACAAGAATGTCTGTATTCGCATCATTGTGACCAAGTCTGCAGAGAAATTCCTTTCGGGTCAAAGCTCAGAGCAACCTTTGCTCGATGTGCTAAAGCAGCTACCCGGGGTTGATGCTATTTACCGAGACGAAGACGAGTGGAAAGACCCCTGGACTCGTGACGAGCCAATTTTGCATATTGAGCTTAGAAAATGGGCCCACATACTGGTTGTCGCCCCTCTATCAGCCAACACGATGGCGAAGATGACAATGGGGATTGCTGATAACCTGCTTCTCTCCGTCATCAGAGCGTGGGATACCACTGGGAAAGTGGACTTTGGTCTCAAAGACAGAAAGCCTGTGGTATTCGTTGCTCCAGGTGAGATTCATTATTATATTTTTGATCACTGTCAAATTTTGTTCTAATCATCAAAAGCTATGAACACTGCGATGTGGAATCACCCAGTTACTAAAAAGCAACTCAAGATCTTAACAGACGAATGGGGGGTGAGTAGAACAAATGAAGAGGGTTGGGTCTCTGTACTTCACCCAATCGAGAAATCTCTCGCTTGTGGTGACACTGGTAATGGTGCCATGATGGATTGGAAAGATATAGTCGACTTAGTAGAGCATCATCTTGGTGTCAATAGTGTCAAGATAGAAGAGAATCGCTGCGGAAGTTGAAAGTAACCCTTATCTTTACTATGTTTGTGAGTGCTATCCTCTTAATGTTCGTCACTGTCGCTTTTATACAGGCCAGAGGTTTGAGCTATATACTCAAAGAACATCCCCAAAGTGATGCCGCCCCCAGTCAGCAAACATCCGTTCTTGAACCACCACCAGCAGTTTTTGATATTCTTCAATTGAACCTTCCAAATCATGATACCGAGGGAAACGGCTGCACTGCCGCAGGTGCCGACAAAAAAGATGGGTCCAGCACCTGCTGCTACTCCTGCAGTAGCGAGCAGCGCTACTTGAACTGCCGCCAGACCAGCAAGGACTGTCTTGGTGTTATGCTCATGCCGAAGGGCAATTGACTTGATCCCCGCGGCGACATCGTCTTTAATGTCCATATGTGCGTAGATCATATCGTACAGCACTGTCCAGGCAACACAGCTAGAATACAAGGCTGCTGCGGCTTCCAAAGCAGCATGGTTGCTGAGAAGATCGACACCCAGCGCTGGAAATCCCATGATAGCGCCCCATGAGAATGTGAGACCCAGAACAGCCTGTGGGTAGTAAGTGACGCGCTTGGCGAGAGGATATGTCGTCACCAACAGGAGGCTGGGAATACCGTACCAGAGACACTGGGAGGGAAATTGTAGCAGGACAGCTAGTCCGGCTAGAAGTTGGGAACCGGTGAAAATCAATGCTTTCTTAGGAGATAGGGCACCTCGCGCAATCGGCCGAAATTTTGTGCGTTCGACATACGGGTCCAGATTCCTGTCCCATAGATCATTGATCGCACAACCGGCGCCTCTCATGATTAATGCACCCGTGAAAAACAGACCAGTAGTGCCAAGAATCTGCATAGGTGTGGCAGACGATGCCATAGGTGCCGCCAGGAGTGTCGAGAAAATACATGGGAAGAAGAGATAATATGTGCCGGCGGGTTTATTGAGGCGTATCAACTCAGCGTACGGAATCCATGATTTGGGAAGAGAAGCAACGAAGCCGTTTTGGGGAGGTATATAGTGTGTTGCCGGGTTATTGTCCGTTGTGGATGCTGGGCGATCTGTAGAGGATGGGGACAGGGAAGAATGTGATCGGCGTCTTATGAGAGATGTTGGCCCCTTGATGATTGCTGACCTGGGTTTGGCAGTATACGCTGATTGGCATCCTGTTGAAATGACCCTCGGCAAGAGGGTCAAGGAATTGTGTTTGCGAAGTAAGCAGTAGCACTGATCGTTCAAGAGACTAGTCCGCGTTCCATAATGTCTGCAAAACTGAACGGGGCGAACAGGAGGGAAGTAAGAGAACCGCAATCTCATTTTATAATGAGCTGTGATCAGGGAAAGCCTCCACAGATGGTCCCTGAACAAAATTCAACACAGATAGAGCTGTCTGACTGATTCCTACAGCACAAAACAAGAGTTAGTCATGGATAACCAAGAAACAGCCAGAGCTGAGCAAAGCTGGCTGTCACCGGTCGGATTACCGTGATTGAAAATAGCACCAGATGCACTACAGTGTGTCTCCACAATTAGTGTACACCTGATTAATAGCAATATGACGTCTGAAAGGCCGTTTCGGCTTCCTCTCGCTGTCTCTCCAAGTCCACTCAGTCGTACCCGCAAGATGCATGGAAATCGAAAATACTTCACGTGTCTGCCAGATTCGTTCTTTCTAGTTGAACCCGCCTGTCCCAGAGAGGAATAGCGCATGCAGGTACTAGTAGATCCAGGATGCGGCACTACGTGGAGTACATACCTAAATACTGGACTAATCAACACAAGGAGGTTTGACCTCTGAGGAGGACGCGAAGTATCGAAGTCTAGGGTCCTGGAACATCCATTAACACCTGGGACCGGGACACTACCCTACTATGACTAGCGAAGCAAGCTTCGAGAGTCATTGTAGACGGCTGCCAAAGGACAACAAGTCGAATTGTTTCCTAAACAGCCAGGCCGTGTTCGATTATTATTATCTCATGCCAGCACGACTACGACCTGCTCTTTTACGGCTCTACCATATTCGAGCGGATATCGACCGACTGCTTGGTCACTGAGAATAGCTTCACACATACATCTATTCGGTTTATGGACAGACCGGCAGCGCCTTATTGATTGTGAAGCATTTGAAAGTCTTCCTTGTTGAGATAACGCTCAACTGCCGGCTTTCTCAGTAACACATCGCAATCAGTCGACAACACAGATAAAGCAATTCTGGACCTTGACAAGCTTGTCTTTCCTAACTGTCATTCAATCTACGGTCTTCGAAGCAAAATGCCCGCCCAGCGTCCCCGTGCGGCCTTTGAGCCAATCCCACCTGACCTGGACGTCGCGGCTCTTGTGGAATCCACACCAAATTTCGAGTACGTGGTTAGAATCCATTGCAACTCCATTGATGAACACGGTCTGGACAATTTCGACAAACTCGTTCGCTTGCATGTCATTCTAGGCGGAAAGCCTTTAGTGATTGAAGGTTTTCATGAGAGGCTGGACCGCTCTGTGTTCTCTGAGAAATGGCTAAGGAGCCATCATTCAACGAAAAGTAAGTCTACAAGCTTAGTGATGCTGTGTCTCGCACCTATGAGTTCCTGTCTAATTTCAAACTCGCATTTCAAAGAGGAGATTGCTCGAAATTTGACCACGAAGAGCAATCTTCCGCTCTCGATTGGCCACTACTTGAAGAACATGCCGCTCTTAACGAATCAATGGGATTCGTTCAATTACAAGGACTCTGATCGACAGCGGATCTATCTAAAAGATATCGATTGTCCGCAGACATGGCACGATCATTTGAAGAGTCTCATTCCCCCGCCGCTTTTTTACCTGAATAAACACCCAGAAGCCTTTCAAGGCCCAGGCGCAGAATCAGTCACAGCTACTGAAGGGTATCAGACTTACGCGGAACCCGGGAAGAAGGTTGGAAAACCTGGTGACCTCATGAGCTGCCTTCCGTCGAGCATGCGCGCCGAAAATCTCATGTGTTATATCGGTCATGAAGGCACATATACACCGTCACATTACGAAATGTGCGCAAGCCTCGGTCAGAATATAATGGTTGAGGCATCGAATGGCTCAGTTGAGGATGGCATGAAAACTAAGCCAGGGTCGTCCATCTGGTTCATGACGGAGAGCAAGGATCGCCGAGTCGTTTCCGAGTACTGGCAGTCAACACTGGGCCATGACATCGACATTGAGGATCATTTCGCGCAGATCAATGCCTGGAAAGCCGCTCCATTCAGAACATATATTGTTGAACAAAGGCCAGGTGATTTTATTCTGATTCCCCCACTGGCAGCGCACCAGGTCTGGAATCGAGGAACAAGGACCATGAAAGTAGCTTGGAATCGAACTACTGTGGAAACCCTGAGCCTAGCCTTGAGTGAAGCCCTTCCTCATGCTAGGATGGTCTGCCGGGATGAGCAGTACAAGAACAAGGCAATTGTGTTCTACTCACTTGAGCATTACTCAAAGCTCCTCGAGAAAGTCGATGTGAACAGTATGGATAGCAAGCAGCAACAGTTACTGAAAGACTTTGAGCGTCTTTTCGCACTGTACACCCAGGTTTTGCTATCTGAGAGCTTCTCACAGGATAAAGCGGAAGAGAAGGGCGTCGAATACATCCCCTTTGACAGTAACATCACCTGTTCATACTGCAGGTGCAATATTTTCAACCGATTTTTGACTTGCCCGTGGTGCGCGGGTGGACAGACTGCCGATGGCGAGGACCCCTACGATATCTGCATGGAATGTTATGTCATGGGCAGAAGCTGCGCTTGCATCTCAAGATTAAAGTGGGTCGAACAGTTCCCTTGGAGTGAGCTGACAGGGAAATATGAAAATTGGCGAGACCAAATATGTCGGCTCAACAAGAGCAATCTGAACAATCAGATATTTTGGCCTCTCACTGAGGAGCGAGCTCGCTACGGCAAGAAAACGCTAGCTGAGATGTGCCAAGAGCAACTGATAAGGCGACCGTGGGTTGATATCACCAAACCAGTGACGCGCAAGATCGATGACAAATTGAGCGATTCAGAAAGTGTGAGCCCTGCTCGGAAACGGAGAAAGACTCGCCTCAGCCACGAATCTGAAGAAGGTGGCCGCTGCCACATCTGCAAGTATATCGAGCCGATATGGAAGCTCGCTTCTTGCGCCTTTTGCAACCAAAACTACTGTTATGGTAGTCTGTTCAGAGCCTTCAATATCCAACCACAAGAAACCATGGAAGTGTATCGTTGGATGTGCCCGAAATGCCAAAAGATTTGCAGCTGCGCAGCATGCCGTCGAGATCCCTCGATGAAACCTTTCGAACCAACCTGTACACTCCTCGGTCATGATACAAGGAAGATAGCGGATCCTCGCAGTGTGGAAAGCCTGGTCGACTTCCGGCAGTCAAATCTGAGGTGGTTAAAAAAGGCAGGCGACGATGAGATAGGAAGACTGAAGAAGCATCAAAAAGAGGCGGATGAGAAGCGTCAACAGGCTATGATTGAATATTGTATTCAGTTGGAGGAATCTCCTCAAGTATCCGACCCGTCGACGGAATATGGGGACATACCAGTCGATCCCGCATTGGAGAAATTAAGTGGCTCGATTCTTACACCACCGGATTCCATCACTCTGTGAGAAAAGGAGAAAGAAGGGTGAGAGAACCCTAACGTATCTGGTTTGGCTTGATCTCGATACAGACGGTTTGGGACAAATCAGACGCAAGCAAGTAGACAAACTTGTCGTGGTACGAGAGAGGATTAATCTGCTCAGCGTCTGGAAAACAGTCTGCAGGTAGTATTGCAAGGATATTTGTTCTTTCAGACCCAGATCTATCGTTGAGATTTGGGCACCATTCTGACTCCCAAGCATGCTGCGTATTGTCGCTGATTACATATAGAACATGTTAGTGACAGAACAAGATATTCCAGAAAGTACAAGTGGATTTAGAATCGCTCCACGTGCACAAGATTCGCCTAGGCGCCCTTGTAATCATAGCGGAGGTTCTCAAGATGCCTGATGTCGACGGATGCCATTACTTTCCGCGCTATCAAAATGGTCGCGAGTATTGCTGTGACTCATGAGCTCTCGTACTTAAGGCCAGAAGATGTCGGCCAGAAGATGTTGGCGGACCGGAGACTCACCTGCCGGAATGAGATATGTGACGACGGAATGATGGTGGGAAGCCGGACTAGTCGGAGAGGCGATGATAGATACAAGCGCCAATAATGCGCACAATGCGACGTTAGTAGGGATGGCGTATTTATGGACGGATGTGATGAGGTCTGTCTTTGGCATTGGCCTTTTCCCTTTGGGGTCTGGACGCTCGATTGCACGATACTTCATAGTATAGGCAGTCGTCAACAGAGACATGACACTTAGAATGGAGAGAAGCCGTTCAAACGAATTCGATGAGCTTGAGAGAATGGATGGGACGTATACAGTCACTGACAAGAGCGGAACGACCGAGAAGATGATCTATATGCATCATCATAACATGTTTAGCTATGATTTCTGCATTGGCAATATCAACGAGGATAGAGGGATGTTCACAGTATACTCAGAATTCCGCTTGTCATTCTGTGCCTGTAATTGCCTAATTACGAGGTCTTGTTCTACAAATCTATCAGTATATAGTATATACGATGATGAAAAGACACAGAACAGACCCTCTTCGTCCAGCTCTTCTCGGCCCTGTTCATCATCGCCCGACTCGTCAGGGTAGCGAAACGCTTTGCGAAGTCTTGTAGTAGCCATGAATCAGATGCCTAGCTGTGTTGACTGATGCCGTAGCATGAAGTTTGAGGCAACTCTTTGGGAACAGACGAGAAGGAGCTCCCAGGAAGATCCATCCTGACGTAAAACGACGCTGGCTCGGAATCCGGAGAGTTGGTTTGTCTTGTTTGGCAATTTTGTTCCTCAGTCGTTGGCGCAAAACATTCTACCACCTTGGCTACCGCTCACTGCATGAGTTGCCTACCAGTTACTTGTCCTTTCTCGGCTCCTGTTACGTTGCTTCACAACTGATCTGACAATGACGCTTCATGCAGCGCAAAGGCGCATTGGCGTCCCACGAGCTTTCATGTTTCGCCGCAATATGCCTCCTCACCGCACTCTTATCCCCGCCCCCAAGGCCAACTCAGGCCCTTTGATGGAGCGACGGGCGGATCGAGAACTTCCCTCCATCAATACTGAGAAGCGCCGATGGATCAAGACGCTGCCGATATTTGCGGTAGTCGTTGGAGCTGCAATGCTTGGCATATTTAATTACCAGAAGTCGTCTTCGAGCGTCGTGAGCAGCACGCTATATGCCCTTCGAACTTCACCTCGTGCACGGGAAATCCTGGGAGACGAAATTTACTTTGCTCAAAAGATACCGTGGATTAGCGGGGAAATGAATCAGCTACATGGTCGGATTGATATCTCCTTTTGGGTGAAGGGGACAAAGGGTCAGGGGAAAATGCGGTTCCGAAGCATTAGGCCGGACCGCATGAGCTTTGTGCGTGACTTAGCCTCATATACTACTTTTAAGACGTCAACTAACAGTTCTCACACGTGAAAAGTTTCGCACCGAAGAATGGAGCCTAGAGACGGAGGACGGACAAGTCGTGCAGCTACTTGACCATGACAGCGACCCTTTTCGCCAAGGCAATTGAACCATCATTCGAACATGAATCCCACCAAGGATGATTGGCATACATGATTTTCATAGGTTTGTACATCAGAGTAATCTTGCATAGGATTAGGCGTTTTCGGCTTCGGACTGTCAACTCCACCGGCTATAGCGTGGGGAGAGACTCGTTCGGGTGATTCGGAGGAAATGCCAAACAGGATATCATTTATGTATCATATACAGACGCCGCTCTAGAAACAGGATAGTGTAATAGTACATTGAAGGAACCAAGACTCCAACATCTCCTCGTGGGCTATGCAGCCGATTCGGATACAGGTGCAACCTCTGGCCAGGGCTTTTTGATAGCGTCCTGAATTCTGACAACGCATCCTTTGGGCCCGCTCACGGAACCTGCAGCAAGATCAATATCGGCCTTTTAACAATACTGTACCGAACGTTGGGTAGCAGAAAACATACCGTTGACAACGACAATTCCGTTCTCTGCGTCGACCTTAAGGACCTTCAAGTTCTGCACAGTATTCTGCTCATTACCCATGTTTCCTGCCATTTTCTTTCCGGGATACACTCTGGAACCACCACCTTGACTAGGACCCGCTGAACCAAGCGACCGATGCGTTAAACTGACACCATGACTGCGGTCCTGACCATGAAAGCCGTGCCGCTTCATCACACCGGCGAACCCTTTACCCTTTGAGTTGGACCGGGCATCGACATACTGACCTTCCTGAAACCAGTCTGCATTGATTATCTGGCCAACAGGTAAGAGGCCACTCTCATCTTTGACTCGGAACTCGTAAACGTGTCTCTTTGGCGAGACACCGTTGGTCGAAAAATGGCCTAAGAGCGACTTCGTCACATTGCTGGGATGCTTCCAACCGGCACCGAGCTGAACAGCATTATAGCCATGCGTTTGTCTTGTCTTATGCGAGACGACTTGTACTCGATCGAGCTGCAGAACAGTGCAAGCGATGCGTTTCCCAGTTTCGGCATCGTATACAGCGGTCATTCCTTTTTTGATAGCGATGGCACCGGCCCGAAGAGGTAGGGTATTCGCCTTGCGTTCCAAAGCAGCCGTGGTGGTCGACTTGAGAACAGGCAATTCAGGACCGATATTGAACCGAGAGGGTTTGGGTGGATTTAATGATTTTATGCCGAAAGTTCGAACAGACACATTGCCAGTGATAGTGAGCGATTGAGGACCTAGAAAGAGGATGGGAAGCTGCGTCAGCTTCCCTGACAGTCGAGGTGACATGATGAGTATCGTTTGAATGGTGTTTGAATGATAATCAAAATAGGTTCTTCCCTTCCGCTTCTTTTGAGATTTTCCAGACTGCGGAGAGCGTACGGAGAAGCGCTAAGGCGGTCAAGAGTGTCCTGCCTGAGGTGTCAATGTCGGGTAAATAGAGATGTATACAAACAGCCAATGGGAGCCCTTACTCGGAGCGATCTCTCACTAAGAAACAGTACAGAAGGATAGAGGAACGGTCCCGATGGAAGCATGTTATCAAGACAGACTTTCCTCACGCTAAGTCCGGGCAAATGCGTTATCCAGCTATGTCCGTCGCCTTTACACTAGAGAATCATGCAGAATATGTGCCTCCCGGCGCCCGGACGTACCGGCACGCCGATCGCCGGACACTGTGTCGAATCCTCAATTGGTAGCTTATTTTTTTTTTTTTTTTGGTCTTTATTTGGGGCACGTCATAAAGAGTGAAAGCATCAACTCTTCACAGGCGCTCTTCAGCTTCTTATTTCAACCTTCTAAAGAAATTGATAAACAGCTTGGCTATCGCAATTCCCTCATAATCATGTCTTTGAGATTCATATCTACATCGCGGTGGTTTTCGCACTTGATCGGTCAAGCCGGCCATGCCCCCTCATCATCTTTTCTCAAACAGAACGTCACATCTTCACAGACGCTGTTCACGCCCAATGTAGTTGCTTCATTCCCTTCTCGCCGTGCATTTGCTTCCTCCCCTGCTTGGAAGCCCAGTCCTCAAAATCGATTCTTCCCCCGCCGATCGGGGTCAACTATTAATTTTACATCCAACCCCTCCAGCACTCTGCAACGGTCAACCTTCCGGCGCTTCAACTCATCGAGGGCGAATCAATCGGCACGGCCGGATCAATCGGGCTCGCTGTCTCAGCGGCTGAAAAAGCTGTCCCGGGAGTATGGCTGGGCTGGGCTGGGTGTTTACCTGTTGTTGTCGGCAATGGATTTTCCCTTTTGTTTCATTGCGGTCCGCCATCTGGGCGCAGAACGAATAGGCCACTATGAAGATGTCGTTGTCGAAACAGTCAAAGGCTTGTTCGGAGCAAAGACTGAACCGGAGGAACAGAGCCAGGACGAGGTCTCAGCTACCCAGCCTGGCCAACAAACCACAGAAGCTCAGAAGAAGAATAATGGCGACGGAGCCAGTATGCTATCACCTGACTTGTTTTGATCTCCTTTCTGAAGTTTTGCTGATCCGTACGTTCTTTTCTTTGCGCAGGTCTGTGGACTCAGCTCGCTCTGGCGTATGCAGTTCACAAGAGTCTCATCTTCATTCGCGTACCCCTCACCGCCGCCATCACCCCCAAAGTTGTCAAGGTCCTAAGAGTATGGGGGTGGGACCTAGCCAAGAGGAGGCCAAGGGGCATGTAAGGTCCGGAATTACTCGTTGCGGAGTGCCTTTCGAACACGTCGTTGAGAACTAGGTCATTTTCTACTGTGGAAAATGATCATATCCTTGCAAATTTGTCTTCTCTACTCTTTATTCTTATTGATGCATAGCGGATTGTGAGACTAGAAAGTGTACTATAAATGGTTGTAGCTGCAAAATCTAATATCAAAGAGACGTCGCACCATATTCTTCCTCACTTGTACATTTCCAACCGGGGTATTCCTCTCAAACGATCCTGTCAAACAGTAGCCAATATATAGTTGATATGCAAAAGAAGAAAAGGAGAAATGAGATAGCCGGGCATTGACTTCATTCCCCGGTAGAGACAAAAGCGATTCCATAGATCGATAGACACCGGGGACGCCAAACGGTAGAATGGTGAAAACAAGAAGACTAGGGACAAATGACGTCAAAAGTCCTCGGGGGGATGAAAAACCAAGAACTTGTCTACAACGACTCAATGAACACCATCCAAGGTTGATCAGAGATGGCGAAAAATGTGGAAGATAATATAACTGATCGAGACAAGAGACAAAGAAACAGAGCATTACATGTCAATCATGTCGTTGAATCTCAGAATGCCGTTGGCTTTCATAACACCGTTGACACCGTCAGGCATTCGGTATGCCCACTCGGCGACGCCCATCGTATCAGCAGCTACCAGAGGATTCTTTCTCTCTGGTTCTTCATCTTCGTCGGATGTATCGGCGACAAGGACAAGACCAAGGCCTTTGATTGTTTCCACAAGAGCTGGAACAACATTCTATAGCACGTCAGGGACGTTATGTTAGCTGCAAATCTCTCACCCTTTTGGTGCCAATGTGATGCTGTGAAGTTGTGGGTACGCGGTAAGAAAGGCGGAATAACGACGTACCAGAAGACTAGAGCGACATATTAAGCCCATGAAATTGTTGCTCTGCGCAATACGTGCTGACTCCTTGATTGACATCGACGCTCTGCCACTGCTGTCTACATCTGGCAAGGAACCAATATCCCGAGCCAAGTCCCGAATTTGGCCGAGATCATTGCAAAGGAGTACAGGAACTAAGAGACGGAGATCAACATTAGCCATAGAAACAAAGGCATGCGCGATGGCAATCACTTACAGTTCGGCTGCTTCCAGTTAAGAGCCGTACATATATTATGATTATACGAGGTAAAGACCACAGAACGCAAGAAGTCCGGATTGTGGTCTCTTGCAACACGCGCATGATCGAATACCTCAGTCAGGATGGCATCCGCGAAGCTATTGACGTCGGCTAGAGATGTCATATTCAAGGCTTGTTCTTCGGCAGGTGACGGATAGAGAATAGATAGATTGACGCTGACGCTGATCGGAAGATGCCGAAGCACTTCCCGCAAGGAAAAAAAGGATGCGGCAAGAAGACGATGGGTTTGTGCTATACTGTTGGTAGCGTTCTCTTTCAGAAACTGTATCGTCTCAGATGGATTTACGCCTCTCTCAGCGCCGACAGCCTGGAATTCATTGAATGACAGGCGACAGATGGGTATTTCAACACCATGGTGCTGAATGGTGAATCGCGGATAAAGTACAGGTACTCTGTCCCTGGTGAGCTGTACAAATAACTGTACATGATCCCCAGACAAGCTGGATCCTGTCACCAGGCCATTGTGTTCAGAGTCGAGCGCACTCGTCGCCTTCCAATACGTCGCAAAGTGCGTAATCTCGAGAGGATCACCATGGTAAGGTTTGATGACTTGAAAGCCGAACCGTAACTGGCCGATTGAGCGTAGTCTAGGATCGAAGAGTGGTAAAGTACATGTTCCGGTACTGGATTTTTCAGCTCTGAACACGGTAGGTAGAGCAACGCTTTTCGCAATCACTTTCGAACCAAAGGTAGGAAAGATCTCAAAATCAACAGCGAATGATTCTAGGTTATCGACGTGAAATGAGATGGTCCTTGAATCTTCCTGGATTGGGAGCATGATTGTGCGAGGTATTAAGTCAGAAAGCTTCGAGGAGATGGTTAACCGAGCAGCAGGATGACGACCTGCTTGGTCAAAGCAAAGCGAGCCTGAGCTACCTGGCTCGAATAGAATTTGGACGAAAACCTTCTTGTCCAGGAAGTTGTGTCCGTAGCGTCTCAAAGGAATGATGGGTGGGGGCAGAGAGAGGTCAGGAATGCCATCAGCAGTGTCCATGTCACCCGAGGCTGCTATCTCGTGATTCATGGTAGTGGAACTTGGTTCCTGCAACCTCAAGCCATTGAGGATATCGAGTGGCTTTTGAGGTAATTGTGACTCAGTACGATGAGACCACAGAAGGAGCATGCATTCCAGATGTCCTTCCCATGCGGCATAATACATCGCGGACAGTCCTTTCTCATCAACAGCACTGGCGTCGACCCCGAGTTCTAGTAGGGTGCGCAAACAATTAACGCAACCTTCACTCGCTGCGTGGAAAAGCGGTGTCCATTGATACAGCTTGTCCCTCTGGTCCATATCAGCTCCGTGCTGTTTGAGAAGGAGCAATAGTTCTGGGGGCTGGGAAGCACGTGTAACCATGTGCTGAGGGTAGAGTCCCTCTGCGTCCGGAAGCAGCTGGGCATTCCGCTCGAGAAGCATCTTGACTATCGGGATGGATCCGTGCTGGCAGGCGAGATTGAGAGGAATATGGTCCGATTCTGATGCCGGTCCAATGCGAGCATTGTGATGGAGAAGCTGCTCAGCACATGCCAACTGATCCTTGACGATGCTATGAATCAACGGCGTGAAATTGTTGTGATCCGCGGTGTCAACTGTATCAGGACCAGCAGCCAACAGCTCGCGCACCATATCAACGCGACCATGCATACAAGCGTAGTGCAGAGGAATCCTGCCGTATACATCTGACCGGGAAACATCGACCCCTGCTGCGATACCTGTCTTGAAAACAAAGTCTCGCCCTGAGATGGCGGCTTCATGTAAGCAATTTCGTTCATTAATATCATCTTCGGCATTGATATCAACCAATCCACTCTCCAAAAGAACTGCAAGCACTTCATCGGAGTATTCGTTGATTGCTGAAAGAAAGGCACGAGTCGCACGATCCCGGGCATCGGGGCAAGTATGAAGCTTGGCAGTCCACTCGCGTAGGGTCTGAAGATTGCCGGTAGTGGCAGACTGCAGGATTTGCGCATCGATATCTTCCTCATCCGTCCCAAAAGGCGGACCAAGCCGGTCAGCTGGACGGGCTGTATCAAACTGTATATTTTCGCCTTCCGCCCATGCTTCGAGTTCCAGGCGGGCTGTCGTTGCTCGGTCTGAAAGATCACGCAAGACATCTCGATTGAAACAGGGTTGTACTTCGACGGCTCGATGGAGATACAGTTCCTTCATGCGCGACTACCAAATAATAATTCATGAGTATGGGTCACGGAGAAAAGAAGAGCACCGAATGCAAAGAGAATAAAGTCGTTCCAACCTTTGATGTTTTATCCCACTACATGTCTCGTCAGTGTCGCCGTTTCCAGTATTTTGTCAATCTCTCCGTGTGAGTGACGAACCTTTTTCAGAATTTTGGACATGGCAGTCTCATTTATCGCGACAAATTGCTATCGCAGAGAAGATATAACGCATTAGGATCCGAGAGCCGAATAAACTATTCCAATCAGGCATACTCACTTGTAATTTGTTCAAGTCGCCATCGAACTGTTGAAACCCTTCGATCAAGGCCACGAAATTGGCTGGAGCCTTGGAGTGCGACACTGCCCGAGACTGAACAACTCGTTTCTTGTCCAAGAGGGTTTTCAAGCGCAAAGCGAACTGTCCTCCAGTCAGCCATCGTCATGTAGGGACACGAGTTTTGCCCGATAAGACAGGATATTCAAACCTCGGCTTCTTTCTGCAAGTAAAAGGCATTGACTTTTTCAATCTCACGCTCCTATATTGACAGTTACTGAGTATTTGTCACATGCCTCATTGATTGTAAATCCATACAAGTCGAAAGAAGAACACCTCCTTATTTGCGCGAAGGGCGGCTTGCGCATCGGCGGCATCCTGACCTGCAACAGTAGCCTGCGCAGGCAATTTGGGCGTCGCGCTCAGTTGCTTTATGAGCTATTCGCAGAAAGTTAGTCAGTAATAAGGAAGCCACAGTTTGCATCCAAAATGGACCGACCTTCTTAAGAGCCTTGTAGTTCACGAAGCTGGCGGCGTACTCCGGAAGATCAAGTTGCCTTCGTTGAATCTGCTTCCCGAACTTCCTACGTATCGAGAAGAATGATCAGCTCCGTAAAAGTCACGAAAGAGGTATTACTTGCGCCATAAAAATAAAATAAAATAAAATAAAATAAAATAAAAATAAAAAAAGGATTCGTAACCCGCCGATGGAACCTACATCCTGAGAAGTTCTTGTGTGAAAGTAAATGGTTACTTGAACCGGCGAATACCCTGATTGGCGTTCAGTGTCGAACAACGAGCAACCCGGATATTGACAGTAGCAGAGCGCACACTGTCAATTGATCGCGTACGAAGCAGAGGAATGGGATGAACAGGTCAATCCGGGAGGGAAGGAAGAGGGGATTCTCTGCCCCTCTCTGAGCTCGAGACAACGACAGATGGACGACGAGGACGAAAAGGCGAGTGGGTCAAGAGGACAGTCCGAAGTCGTCAGTGGCGGTTGTAGTAGAAGTGGAAATGGTATCAGCAGGCGTTGTCCGGTTATACAAATGAGAGGACACTGCTAGAGGACACAAGGGTATGCTCGCAATGTGATAGATTCGAGCTCGATGGCGGAGAGAATTAAGAATGCACACATCCGGACCTGACCAGAGAATCAAGAGAAATGAAAGAGGGGGAGGCCGGACATCTGTCGCAACGATCGGTCCCTGTTGCGTTGAGGACCCAGAGTAGGAAGGAAAGAGCACGAGAGGGAGATTGGGAGGTAATGTCTAAGGTATAGAGTGCCGTCAAGTGTCAAATAATAATAGTAATTAGTAGGAAGGACCTCGTCATTGGGGACTCGCTGGCAATTGCGGGCTAACAACGCCCATGGGAGGGGCTCTTTTGACCCCGCTTGTCTAGAGGGGTTAGAGCAAGTTGGAACAGGAATTGAATACAGAGTAATAATAATCGATAATAATTAGGGAAATCGAGAGGATTTGACGGTGATTATTATTGAGCGCGAACAAGGGCAGTATGTATCTACGGAGTACCTAAGCTCGCGCCGCAGAACAGGAGAAACTAAGGTATGTACTAACGCCCTTACTAAGGCCGAACAAGAGAGTGGAGACCTCTGGGTAGCTGAATGCAGCAGCCAATCACCCCAGCAGATCTGCCCACGTTCTGACTACCTGGACGGACAGCATCTGTCGGATTTCTCTGATATATGGATCCAAGGCTGCCACACCAGAAAGTCAATGTAGCCGATCAAAGATGACTATTCCTCTTTGATTCTAATTGCTTGTTGCTGACTTACTCAGAGTAGTGACAGACACCAACCATAGGCTGTTCGAGGACAACGTGTCGTGCCGAATCCGTCTGGCAGCTCTGGCTAACAAAATCTATCTACGTACCTTACTGTAGCCACCACTTTTAGTACTTAGGTACTGTGAGTGAGAGCGCTTGGTGATCTAGTCATGTGTACTTCCCTCAGGCGCATATCGCCGTCCTTCATAACATGTATGATATAGAATTATATAGTACGTACCTCTCACCAGTGCAGGTATTCCATTCAGATGGAACCTAGGCAGGTGCCTGATTACGCCAGCCACACTTCACAATTGATGATTTGTAAATGGTAGATAATACATTCTATGGTAGGTCCAGTAATTCAGCATTAGTAGGTACCTACCAACGAGTTGCCCTTCTCTACAGTTTGCCGTTCTGCATGACTTTTAAATAGATAACATGCACTGACCCTCAAGCCAATCATCGGAATATTTAAATCTTGGATCGTCATCTGATGTCAGAGTGCATATTATGGAGTCTTAGTATTTACCTAACCGCGTCATGGTTCATACTGTTGTCGCTGCGCCGATCTCTGCTTGATAAATACTAGGTACTCATCAGTAGCCGAGAAGGTTAACTACTTATGGCTGATCCGGCCTTCGCTTGATGATATACCTACTATATCATTGTCGGAGCAAGCGCAACCGTCCTTTACTCCATCCTCATAGACAGCCTCTCGCAGTGTTCCAAGTACCTAGTCTACTGCCGGATACTCATCCTTCGCCGATTGTCTGTCTAGGCTATTGGCTACACCGGTGGAAGGCCCTGGAGCCTACCTAGTCTACGACTGTGATGTCCCACCACGCTTAGAATACTCCCCTCCGGCCCTAGAAACAGATCGAGAGAATATGCAACGGAAATGGCAGATGAAAGTACAAAGAGGACACTGTATGTATTTTAATGTGCTACTCTCACACGGGAATTACACACCCATTGCATCCAAATATACAAAGTTAAGATGCAAGCAGTGTGACCTGACCACCATAAACTCGGTCCAGAAAAGTCAGAGAATAACCTGAAACGCAGATAACCATGGAACTGGAGATATTCATGCACGCCTGGAGCCGGTTCAGAATCTCCGATATCTCGAGTATCAAAACAGAAATACAAAGCAACAGCAGGCAAGCGGCCAGAAGAGAGCCCAGAAGGAGCCAGCGGTGTATAAAATTGAAAAAGAAAACAAGAAAAAAGCGAGGGTGCTTCAGAAGCGGGAATACAGGATCTCATGAACATAAACGAACTGGTAGAACAAAAGATACATCGAGCGAAGGAATCATGGGAAAATCCTCAAAAGATGGGCTATGAAAAGGATGAGAGGGAAGTTAAAAAAAAAATCGGCTAGAAGCCGGTAAGTCAAAGAAGACAGATTTTGAGCGAAGAAAACAAGAATCGCGAATCGAGATTGAAGGAGAATAAATGTTGACAGCACAAGATGATGCCAGACCAATCGATCGCTAATTTGCAGATACGCATGAGAGACCAGCCGATATCAATCCGAATCCTCCGTCAGTTTCCTGCGGTCACAGAAGCACTTGTCAGGACTCTACCATATTCGGCAAAGACACAGCGGTTTCATATCATTCTTTCAGAAGTTTTGGGCGATGCCGGCGTTTCCTTGTCGCGGGAAGACTGCCGGGTTCTCGATTCGCGTATTGCGCCGAGCCTGGACATCTCGAATCACAGGCTGATTTGGGACATATGGACCGTCTCCATAAGCCCCGTACTGCCCTTGCATATCACTATAATATGGGTTATCCTCGTAGAAGGCACCGGTCGGATGGGTGGCAGACATATGGCTTTCGTCCGAGGCCTCGGATCTGTTGCCTGCGGAGTAAGCAGACGAGGCATTGGACGGACCACGGTGAATGTCGGTGGTGCGGTTATTAGAAGCTGCAGGCGCAGCTCCCAAAACCCCGATTGGTTCAGTCTCTGGCATCTGTCCCTCGGAAAATTGGATGGTACCATCACTTGGAGTTGCAGCGTGATGATAGCCAGGTGCGCTTCCAGCTTCCGACATAGCTAAACCCGCCCCAGCGCCACTCGACAAATTCGTCGATGCTTTGCGGCCAGCGGAGGTCGTTCCCCATCCCCGATATCCGGTTGTGTCATCCTTGGGTTCGAATGCAGCGCCGCCGCCCATGATGGGCGGTAGTGTCGGGTCGTTGTTTGGGTTGAATCCGTACTCCTCCACCTCTTTTCTACGTTCTTCCTCCGCCGCTTTCTTTGCCTTCCATTTGCGCCAGAAGTACAAGGCAGCCAGGATGATCAAAGCCACAGAGACGACCGGTACGACTACCGCTACCGCAATTGTGCCACCAGCAGAGAGTCCAGAACTACCCGAGCTTCCTCCTGTGGACGATGCAGTCGCGGACGATCCAGACGATGTAGCTGTCACTCCGTTGGCTGAGTTTCCGGTCGGGAGAGTCTGAGACGTAGATTCTGTCGAAGTAACGTAAACGGTCTTCGCCCCAGTATCTGTATTGGCAGGTGTGGCAGTAGAGATAGATGTGATGACGCTGTCGGGGGTTCGAGAGGTTTCGGAACTGGTGGATTGTGTGGTCTGCGCAGTCGTGGCGGATGAAGTGCTTGAAGTGGTTGAAGTGCTTGTGCTACTCGTAGTGCTAGTCGTTGATGGTTCTGTCGGGGCGGACGTCGTGGAAGTCGTTGATGAGGTGGTCGAGGACGTTGAAGTTGGCTCGGAAGTGGTGGTGGGTGCAGTCGGCGTCTGCTCTGCGGTTGTTTGGGCGGGCGTACCGCCATTGGCGTTGGCACTCGTCGGAGCCGCCTGTACTGTTCCTATAAATTAGTTACTTGACCGTTTGATCACGATTGAACAACGATGTTGAAAGTGAATGGGACCATCGTGAACAGGCTGGCTAATCCGTACCAGAAGACATGATTGAGTAGCTTTCCTCAACTAATATGACCAGAAAATTCTCTCTCTTCAAGACAAGTCTAATGGCACAATTGGCAGCGCAAATCCAGACGCGTAGATAGAGTGGATATAGGTGTCTTGTCTTTGGACGTGATGGCCCTTCTAACTAAGATGTAGGGTCGAGTAATTCACTTTCTCAACGTTGATGGGGGTATCAGCAGACCGAAGATTGACCGATCGTGATTTCGTGGAGGGAGAGCGTTGGTCCGGAGTTCCATCAACCTTTTAGGGAAACATAAGAGTATGAGAGGTAAAAATTAATAATAATGAGTGAAAGAAGAAATGATAAAGAATGGCTGTCGAACCCAGCAAAGTAACGATTGCGCGCACAGCGATTATAGGCGTTGCAGTCAAGATGTGGTCAGAAGTCAAGGCCGACGGAGGTACAGTTTGCGAGACGGTTGATGATGATCAGGGGGCAAAAGGAAATGGAAACGTCCACCGCGAAGACACAGGTAAACCTGACAGGACCTTGACAGGTACCTACACAGGCTCCATGAGACGACAGTAGATGACAATAATCGGAGATAGATGATAATACAGATATAATGGTAATGATAAGGCTAATCCCACAGTTTGATTGAGAAGGGGAACGGTTCGAAGGACGAAGGAGAGACGAGGTAGAAGGAAAGGAATGAATGAAGTGAGAGTGGAGATGCAGCGAATATCTAGTAATAATACAGATGGATCATGGATCATGAATGGTGATTGTTACCTTTAGATCGTTGAAGCCGGTTTCTCTAGTGGTATTCATCCCTAGTGACTTTTAAGTGGGCTCAGACTCTCAATATACCGTACTCTGTATGTATGTTCCTGTTAGCGAATGTGCATCCGAAGTAGTAGCTGGCTATTTATTGACCCATTAAAGGCTTCTAACTTGAAACCAGTACCCATTGGAAGTCTTGGCGATTGCTCTGACTCGCACTTAGGACATGTCGCCAAATAAAACTACTACTATCGTCAACCATCCCCATGCACATAATTAAAAACAAATGTCCAACAGTTAGGTACCAGTACCACTAAGGTACTGAATTAGGTATGCTCGCTATTGATTACCATTTACCACAGGCCCATGGAACCCATGGTGCTCCGAAACTCCAGTATTATTGGCAAAAGACAAATGCGGCCATGCGGCGAAGGGATCCGATCCTGAGTACATACGGGAATCGGGAATGGAAAGTGAGGAGTCACCTCTGCAAGCCTCTCCTGCAACCAGCATGTGTCTTTGATAGAAAGGTCGCTTTCGTGTTTTATCAAGGGAAGTAAGTCAGTATCTTCAATGCTCTCAGCAACAAGGCATTTTCTTAACCAAACATCTGGGACTGGTGCTGGCCTTTCCTTGGTGTTTGCGTCAACGGTATCCACACAGAATTTAGTTCACTTAATATGTTCATACACAGCAGATACACAGTACTTACTACCTTGTCTACTCAGTATCTAGATGAGTGTCTCGATGAGCATCTATTATCTAGTTGCCTACTGACAGATGCTTGACGGACCCAAAGCACTAATTTAGTGGTCTTGAAGTAGAATATCTTCTTGGATTGGTGGATAACCAAACAAACTCTTCTATTAGATAGTATCCATATGGATAGGTCATGTAGTAAATGACTGAACAGCAGCATTATGTTTTCTATTTTTGTTCTCTCACTGTCAGCATTATCTCTACTTTCTTACAAGGAACTTTTCTCTCTCTCCCTCTCTTTCTTTTTCTTCTGTGCGTCTAATAATGCTTCAACGTTGACCTCACATTGAATTGTGGAAAAGCAGACCTCCGAATATTCGGTAGAGACACGCTTTTTGGCAGACAGATTCTGGTTTAGATCAGATGATTATGAAATACTCTCAGGCCATAATCCTAATTCGCTGCGCTGAACGGATCACCTCAGCTCATATCCATGGATACCTTAGGATAATGACTGCAACAGTGCCAGCACGTATGACTACTTACCTCCATCGGAGTTAGCTGATCATTTTGTACCATGGATGAAGGGCATCTCCTTTCCCAAAACCAAGGTTACCCTCGCACAAGTTCACAGCAATAAATATAACTAAGTAACCAGCAGCTCTTCACTGTTTGCTCAGATCTTAGCTAAAATTGGGTATCCATTATTCATAAGCCAGGACGCATCGTAGAGTTCGCACTTATTCATCAGAATACTAATAGAGTTGTGAATCCCATTCTCACCATAGATAATCCTCATGAATCTATTCAAGTAGTCTGGCAATACATGCAATTCATCTATTTCAACTCTTACCTGATTTTGTCACTTGCATATTCATCGTAAAAGTTGCTGCTTGAGAGAGCAGATCGAGCTGTAATTTCTGATATATCTGGAGACTGAAAATGGGGAAGCCTCAGAACACATGTTTATTCAGATGAACAAGTCATATGGAGGCCGTGATGATCTCCCTATGTAGAGCCAGTGTCGCTCTGAATCCAGATATTCAACACAGAAAATTAATACCAGCGCGGGCCAGAGTCCAAGCCAAGGAGCCATCATCTCCCCTCCGATTCCTTGAAGGATGATCTCAAGTGTGGGAGATAGTAGGTGAAAGAATCAAAGTATGGTCTATTTCTCAACGAGCCCGATTCGCGCCGCTCAAAAAGAAGAATTCAAACAACATAGCCTGAGACGCCTGACGGCACAAAGCCATGCTCGACTTACTGCTCTAAAGAACAGTATGCGGAAAGCTGGAAACGATCACAACCACACTAACAGAACAAAGCCCCATTCGCAGACAGCATCTTAAACTTTCAACTTGCAAAGTAACGCCGCCAGAGCCTTGAAATCAAGTAGATAGTAGAAGATGGGAGAATAGAAAAAAGATCCAGCTTCATATATCTTATGCACGCCATGGACGTCGAATTGACAGCAAAATCGATCCCAGCCTCTGGGGAGACAGCGCCCATTTCGGAAGAAAGAACAAGAGGAAGGTCGTGAAGTAGTCTAGCGCGACATTGTGGAAAAAGATCCATCACCTGGAGGAACAGAAGATCAAAGCTTGACGAAGCTTTCTATGTTTGCCGCATATCCCATGAGGGACGAAGATTGGACATCAAGTCGTCTTTCGTACCTACAGTCTCTGGGGGAAGCCGACTGACACGATACGCACCCGTACGAATGTTATGCAAATGAGCGGCGGAGATTCCTGTGCGGTTACTATGAATGCTGCCAGCATCGCTTGCAGTCTCTGCATTCTTGAATCGAGGCGGAGGCGCGAAATCAAGGTTATCGAAGGTTCCTGATTTACGCAATGCATGCCTAAGGAGATCGTTAGTTTTATCATCCAGATATTACTTGAATGCATAGACTTACGGGCTTGGTATCGCTGCGAGCTCATCGAAAGCGGAGGCAAGAGGTGTACGAGCAGGTGCTAGCGGAGTGTAAGGCCGCAGTCCACCAAGAGGGGTCTCTGCTCGTCCTTCTTTTTGGTCTTTGAAGTTTCTGCCTGGGGCGTACTCGGCAGCAATCATAAGGGAATCGTCTTTCAGCAAGTGAGGGGAAGGTAGAACTTGAAGTGGTGACGGCGGCGGCATTGGCTTGCGAGGTGCTCGAGGCCCGGGCAACCGATGAGAAGCCGAAGAGAAAGCACGAGGCCCCGGATAGTTGAACCGATCGCCGGCACCACCCACAGAGCCGCTAGCCATATGCCTGGCAGCTCCTTGGAAGCGGGGTGGTGCGCGTGGGGGCGGCGTCATGGCACGACGATGGACGGGCTCAGCGAATGGTGCTGGAACCGGATCATAGTAATCACCAGTAGTAGGATCGTAGACGTAGCCACCATCCTGGAAGGATTCTGGACCGTAGTCCTCATAGATGGTTTCCCTGCCCGTCTTAGACTCGTCGAAGTACTCCTTGTAAAACGACCGAATACGGTTGGCACGCTGCTCGGGATTGTCTGATGGATCCTCTGGGGGCAGAGGGCGAAGTCCCAGAGTGAACCGACGAGTATCACGACGGACATCAAGGGTTTGATTCTGAGACTGCGGCGGCTCCTGGGGGATAGGAGGAGCTGCTGCATGATTTGGGGCCGCGTCACGCTTCTGGGCATCTTCGGTCCCGTAGACGTTCACTGCCGGGATCTCGGGATAAGACTTTCTATTATCACCGTAGTCGCTCGCTGCATCGCTCACGGGAAGTGAAATCCGAGGTGTTGGCGTGAACGGTGTCTGCTTTGAAGGCGCGGTTGATTCAAGATTGGTCGGCAGAGCTTCATGAATGGGACGATTCTGTTGTTCATGAATGTCGAGATGCAGCTCCAATGAAGGGTCCACAGCGTTCTTGGGAGGTTGTCGAGGCAAATTGTCGTGGCGGGCCGTCGAGGATGATATGTCCTCGTCGCCATCGTCCTGGCCACCTGGCGCTGGACTTGGTCCACGACTACCGCTGACTCCCGGTATGTGAACAGGACTCAAACTCCGTGGCAGATTCAACTGCAATCCCACATCCTGTCCATTTCCTTGGCCCAGCGGACTGTGCAAGCTACCACTGTCCGAAGGAGCATTGTACAGTGGCGGTGACGAACGTGAAATTCTCTGGGCGTTCTGCAGTAAACCTTGGTTCATGTCATCTCCTCGAAGGCTGGCTTTACTCTGCGATCTGGAGAATCCCGACGTGTCATCGTGAAATCCCCTCGGCTGCGATCTGACAGACGCATTATCACCGAGGAATGAAGTCGCATGGCGGTATTTATCGTCATCACCAATCATAGATCTTGAAAGAGAGTGTAATGACTCCCGGGAACCATGTAGACCAGGAGGAAGGAGGTAGGGACTTGGGCCTATGTCGAGGGACATTCCTTTGGTATGAAGGTTGCTGCCTTTCTCTGCTTGTGTCATTGGTTTAGGCCCCGCTCTGGGTTCCAGATCTAAGCCAAAATCGAGAGATTTATGCTTGTCATTGGCATCTTCCTGTCGGAGCTTCTTCACATTCCGCCGATGGAGATAAAATAGGACGATAATGGCGCATACAATTGGGATTCTGGTCGCTCATCAGCCCACGGGTAAGAAACAGACCAAGAATGAGAACTCCACGTACACTGCGCCTAGTACAATCGGCAAGGTCGTCGTACTAGACGAACTTGTATATTTCTCGCACGCACTGGAGGTGTCACCCTCAGGACAACGGGTGCTTGTAGTCGTCGTAGATGTCGAAGGCACCCTTTTCACAAGGGTTGGATCTTCAGTGCCAATCAAGACCGGCACACGGTCTCGAGGCACAATGTCTGGTCGACGGGGCGGGGACCGCATGACCATGTGGGTACCATGACGGGGAAGATGGTGATGTTGGTGATGATGATGCATGGTCGTCCTAACTCGTCTGGTCTCAATGACTTTTGGAGTCGGACGGCCGATACAAAGGTCTCCAAGGTGAGTGGACCACTATAGTCGTAGGATTGATTCGAAGGGCGGGGATTGCAAGGAATAGCGAGGACCAGCGATCAAATCCAACAATCGACGATCTCTAATCATGAACGCAAAAGTACGGGTGACATTAGCTGAGCAAACAAAAAGCTTATAGACAGGCCAGAGATGTGAGGATATCGATGGACAGATTGGATTAGCAAGCTAACGAGAGCAGATGCGGCGCCGAAATTGACACTCTTCGACCAAGGAGCGAACGGGAACGATTCTTTCCCTAAAGGAGTGGAAGCTGAAGGCCAGCAGACTTGAATAAATGAGTGTGAATGATCTCCGCGGTGAGACCAAGTTGGAGGTAGGGAGGGTTGCGGGAAAAGGCTAGAGAAACTGAACCAACAAGCAAGCAAAAAGGAATGGACAGGATGATAATAATAATGGAAGAGAAGGAATAAGAAAAGAGAGAACGACTAAGGGGAGATAGCAACTTAGCAAGTGAGGTAGCGCAGAGATGAGGAGACAGTAACAATAACAATACCCATACTAGTCACTTGTGCTAAGCTTGCCCATACCTCCCTAGCCTCACCTAGAGGTAATATTCAAGATCCATAACGATAAAACGTGTAGATCCTTCAGGCGCAGTGAATTTCAGCTATTGCCCTGGTTATTTTATGATGATGAAGTTCTAAAGACTTTCTAGGTTCATTAACTAGATACTGTACCACAGCATTAAGTTAGTAGTAAATAGATAGGAGTCCAGCAAGATACATTACTAAGACAGCATAGCTTAACACAGTATAGTAGGTAAGGTAAGGTAGTGCTTGAGTGTGGAGTAGTACAAACAATTTCAGGTACGGCTGTGTATGAACCAGGTGCCTCAGTACGGTACCTTCCTAAGGTTACCTACAGGTAAAGGTAAGGAGTGAGAGATCAGGGGTTTCCCCAGGTAGCTTACTTTGTAGGTAGTTCATGCAAAGTACTCCGTACTGCTGTACTCTATACTTGATACTCTGTACCTGCTTCATACATGATACTAACTCTGCACTCTAGGAGATGACAACTCTTCCATACTCTCTCAAGGTTGTGTCGAGAGACAGAAACTGCAAGATAGGTAAGGTCCCGTCCCTTGGTACCTCTAGTCAGGTACGGATACCAATCATACAAGACTGGTACCTGAAAAGTGGCGACGGAATGAACAGCCCAAGTTTCATTGGCCCCACTTGAACCCCCTTAATTGAGAATTATTGGTGGTTTTGCGTAAAATAAATATTAATAGCATGTCAGTTCAGGGGTAAGACTTTTGTGTACTGTTGATGATAGACAGAGTCTAGACTACCTATCTGTAAGACTTCTACATCTGTGGAGACTACCTAGGTAGATATGTTGTCTAGATACTCCATACACGGAGTAAAAGGGTCAACAAACCATGCTTATACTTATCTAGATATTTACAGGAGGAACTACCATAGTAATTCAACCATATTAGTCTTTATCATTGACTGTCTTTTCCATCTAGTTGGGGAGCTGTAAGATTAGGTTATAGGCTGCTTCCCTGGGATTACTCTAAGGGAGTGCATTCTTACACATGCTTCTCTCTTGTGCAGCATCATTTGGTTCTTATGAAGCCATTATTATTAGGATTCATTAAGGCCATTAAAATATAATGCTACTCATGCATACTACCTAGTTTGCTTGGAACAATCTATGGAATAGTTGCTAATGAACTAGATGGCCTAATAATAATTACAACAATAATGGTTCCTTGACCCTGTTCGGCATTTTCAACCCAATCAGTTATCCCGCAGTAGAGAGGTATATGAGCCTTAATCTCCGGAGTAGTTATGTGAGGGCATCGACGGCCGCCCTTATTATTATTGCCTGAATGATTCAAGGCTGCCTGCTGCGTGGTTGAGACAAATTGTTCGCCCTTGAGGACATGGAAGCTACCTACACTCCTTGGTATGTATACGGAGTACCCTGAGGAAGCTTATAGGCGCAGAGAGTACGGAGTACTACGAAATTGAATCAAAGCTTCAACTGATGCGTGTGCCTCGAGTTCATTTATTTCCTCTCCAAATTATCAGTCAGACCTCTTACCACTTACCATCAATTGTCCTGTTATCTGATGGAGTCGGCTGTGAAGCTGACTTCAAGAATAAGTAGCATATTCTATTTACCGGGGCTTAATTCTACTGAAGCTCTACTTTTATGTAAAAATGTCTCACTATCATCCTAGTATTTCCTGACGGTCTAGAATTTACTACAACTTCTACATTTCTCTCCCCCTTCAGTTTCTGCAGCATCATGACGTCAAAAGCAGAGACTTCCCAGTGTAGCCGACACCATCGGATTGTTGTCTGACCTGCCATACGAAGCAGTACTCCGTTGTAGCATCAAACTTATAGTCCAGACATATTGGCTACGCCTATCTGCTGCTCTTCTTCGTTGCTCTAAATGCTTCCTCTATTCTTCAAAAGTTAAAGGAGAAGGTGGAATGGGATGCGCCCCTCTGTCCCTTGAAGATCATTCGGTGATTTTGGGCATGAACCTGGCCACAAAAGTCATGTCTTTTTGTTTAGGAGACTAGACTTATTGCCTCCTATCACAGCAACTAGGTAATGGTGCTACTACTGTTACATAGTACTTACCTACCGAACTACATGACTGATTGCTTACCTGATGATGATGGCGATGATGATGCCTGAACCAACCTTGGCCACTTTCTATTCCTGTGTGCCTCATCTTGGCTAAATCAAAACAACCCGAACAAAGATTGGCAATTCTTTAAGAAGAATATCTCTATCCGTGTACTGCTTGTTATGTCTTGCATTACAAAAAACTAGAGCCTTTACAGTGGCCTCATGGAGCAAAGCGAAGCACAAAGAGCCTCGGGGGGGGGAGATGAAGATTCTCGTGTCGGGATTTTCTCCGAAGAGGCGGCTTGAGATCATCTTCAAGTAAGTCCAATTGCCGCCATGGTTGGGTTACAAGCCCACTTGAATCGCGTACCTTAGCTTCGCACAGTCTAGTTCATTCGCCTCTTCCTTCAAGTGGACGCCCGTACGATGACTGCTTTGAAAATCTTGTCTCGAACTAAATTCACCCTATCGATATGTTATAAACACTCCTCCTTCCTTCATGCCTCGCGCAAGAAGAGAATTCTCCTAATTTCTGCTATGATCTCCAACACTTGGCTTCTAGGCTGCGTGCGTCATTGCCCGCATGGATTCATTGTCGCGGGATCTCGAAAAGGCTGAGCTGGAGGCATACCGTCCACCAAGCCACCGTCAGAGCCTCAGTCATGGCAGCCGTGCCTCTCGGTCTGACTCCCTCTCATCCTCAGTCACCTCTTCCAGCTCGTCGTCAGAATCGCAAGAGGGTGACTACTACTTGTCGCAGATTCAGACTGCCCAGACGCTACGAGGTACTGGTCTAGAACGACATCCAACAGCACTCAGTCGCATTGCAACTCAGAGAAGCCAGCATAGCGCCACTGTGGGTGCTCTCAAACCAATAGTGTCAAAGAGACCTCTGCCAGAATTTGGCGCAGGAAAGCCCTATCCCCCGCCGCTTCCAGAGAGAGAAGAATATGTCGTCGAGTTTGCTGGTCCGGATGATCCCCTGCATCCTCAGAACTGGTCTATCAAGAAGAAGTAAGTCACTTCGAGGTCGCGTCGCTCACCCCAGAAGACTAATGCCAACTTGCCTCCGCGTATAGGATTGCAGTTTCCGCCATGCTGGCATACACGACTTTCAATGCGACTTTCACAAGCAGCATCTACTCTACCGCCAATTCGGTTGTGTCATCGAAGTTTCATGTCTCGACCGAAGTAGGTACTTTGGGCCTGTCGCTGTATGTCTTGGGGTTTGCGTGTGGCCCGACATTTTTCTCGCCATTGTCTGAGCTTCAAGGCCGGCGTCTACCCATTCTGATTGGCATGTTCGGCTTTACCGTCTTCCAGTTTGCAGTGGCTACCGCGGAAAACCTCCAAACGCTAATAATATGTCGCTTTTTCGGTGGCTTTTTCGGATCGTGTCCCATCGCTGTTGTTGCGGCGGTGTTCTCTGATATCTATGACAACCGCCATCGAGGCCTCGCGATCACGCTTTTTACCATGACAGTCTTTACCGGCCCGCTCTTTGCTCCTTTCATTGGTGGCTTCATCGTTGAAAGTTATCTGGGCTGGCGTTGGACGGAATACCTCACTGGAATCATGGGCGCCTCGGCTTTTGTTCTGGATTTGTTCTTTCTGGAGGAGACATATCCTCCAGTCGTGCTAATTGGGAAGGCTGCTGAACTTCGTCGGCGAACGAGAAATTGGGGCATTCACGCGAAGCAAGAGGAAATCGAGGTTGAATTTGGAGAGCTCATCCGCAAGAATTTTAGTCGTCCACTGCGGATCTTGTTCACCGAACCGATCGTGCTCCTGCTGAGTATCTACATGGCATTCCTCTATGGCTTGCTATATCTGTTCTTGACCGCATATCCAATTGTCTTTCAGCGGATCCACGGTTTCAGTAAGGGCATTGGTGGCCTTCCTTATTTTGGGATAATCATCGGCGAATTTTTGGGCGGAATATTTATTATTATGCTCCAGCCCTGGTATAACAGACGACTGAGTGCGAATAAGGACATACCCATCCCCGAATGGCGTCTACCCCCAGCCATTCTAGGTGGGCTGGCCTTTGCCGGCGGTCTCTTCTGGTTCGGTTGGTCCGGGTACAGATCTGATATACATTGGATCGTGCCAACCCTGTCGGGTCTCCTGACCGGATTCGGCCTTTTCTGCATTTTTCTGCAATGTCTCAACTATATTGTTGACGCATATCTCGTCTTGTATGGTGCTCTCTTCAATACCTCTCCCTCGGAAGCTATGCTGATATCTTCTCAC